CCCAAGTCTCCGTGTGGAGGCGGCAAGGGGGTGAGAAATTGAAACTTCTGTAAGTGTACCCTTTAACGTTATTTAAGCGTTTGCTATGGAAAATGGTCGATTTATAGATGATGAACTTGATGATTTCCCCATGAAACATGGTGATTCTCCAGTTGTTCGCAGCGTTTCCATACCCACTTCCCGGATGCACATCGATCCGCGTGCATCGGCGTCCTGGAGATGACCCTGGACAGCACGGCACGCCCCCCAGGGACAAAACCAAAGATCATATTAACAAACCATGAATCCCATAGCTATATTTTTGTGATATGTTATTGCCAGTTATTGCTGGTTGGTGGTATACCGGTATACCTCTGAAAAATGATGGAGTTCGTCACTTGGGATGATAAAATTCCCAATCTATGGAAAAATGTTCCAAACCACCAACCAGTATTGATATGTCCATATTATCCGTATGTTGACTATATAACACACATGTGGAACGATTGTTAACCATATGAACATAAGGATTCAATTCGCCAATTACGTTATACATCCACGGATATATCGCATGGCTAACCAGCACTGTGATTACTTATTGTCCTGGTATTTTATTGATTCACCTGTTGATTCATCAGGGGGCTACCGCCAAGAAAACATGTTAAAACTAACTCCTATGACAAGTAGTACAACTGGGGGTTTGTTGATCCTAGGTCTACATTATCCATGAAAATAACACTAACTATGGTTTGTCCCCATTTTTCTGCTATTAAAATCCCAAGATATCCCATTGAATTTCAATATTAGCTGGTTAGCTGCCATTTTACGCCCCCCCTTTGATGCTTAAGATTCGCCATTGGAAAAATCATGCTTCAATTGGCCGCTATTTTTCATGGTCAATCTTTGGTAGTCCGTAAAAAATGGCAATTTTTTGCTGGTTATAGTCTCTACTTATTTTCCATTTATAACAAAAAACTCAAGGATGAAACTACCTATCCAGTCGGTTGGGGATGTTTTTGAGGTGTTTCAACCGGTGTTTTGGGTTTGTGCAGCTGTCTGCACAGCGCCCGCGGCGTGCTTGATCTGGCTGCGCCAAAGATCGATGCAGCTATTGTGAAGGTGCTGAAGGGTCACCTGAGTAGTGTTCAAAACCCCTGATGATTGTAGGGATAAAAAAAATACCCAAAAGGGGATTCAAATGGATTTAATTGTGATCTCATTGTGATTAAAAAATAAGGTTTTTTTTATTATCATCCAAGAACGGGGAATTCCGTTCTTAAACAAACGGTATTTCATGCACTGAGGGATTTTGAATGCTCGCCTGCGGAGCACTGCACTTAAAAGGCCCTGAAGGTAAAATGCATTACAATGACGTATGTATATATATATAAAATAAATATGTCATCATGTATATGTATATAAAATTTATAAATATATATATATATATATATGCTCACCCACCCCAGAACCCCGGCATGCTGAGCAAGCAATTGTTTTACCAACTCTTTGTCTCTCGGTAGCACAACTGATGTGTCGGCACGGAGCAGTGCTAGTTTGTCTAAACGGCATATTGATATGCTTGCCACTAGGAAACATCACCAAAAAACAATCTTTTCAAACTGTTTTTTCAGAAAAATATTGAAATGGACTTATGTAAATACTTTTGTCTTTCTTGTTTATTCTATTACTCATATATTTACCAGATGGGACTTTTCTATTGATTTTCTGGTGTTCTTGGCGCTGGTTCCAATAACTCAGGTGGGGTCATTGGCATCATAGGAGGTGTCACCGGAATCACATTGCCGATTTCCGGAGGAATGGGGGTGTGGCCAGGTGGAGTCATGGCCACTGGCACTGGTCGCCGCGGACTCGTAGATCGTGCCCTCTCATGATTCGGCCGGCGCTCCCCTGGTCACCGCTCCCACCAGCTCGGGTTATTGGGGGGCGGCAAAGTCCACGCAGACCTTGGGCCAACAGACACACACACACACTATTCGTAGCCCAAGAAGCTCCCAGAAGTCGTCTTCAAACGTACATGAAGGTGTAGTCTCAGGAGCCATGCAGGCAAAGAGGGAACTTCTCGGGCGAGACTGGTAACGATCCAACATTGGCTGCGAAAAGAAGGCGAAGATTAATCTATCCAAACTACGCTGTTACTTTGTCCCTTATTCCTCGAGTATTCACACATACATATTTTTCAGTGATATATATATATATATTTGTCTTCATTATTTATATATATATATACATGCATATAGGAGGTTGTTGGGGTTGAGGCAGGGCCTTAGATGCAGCGTTGAGATGCTCATTCAAAGGAGACGGCCAAATCAGACAGTGCTTTCAATGAATGCAGATGTGACGTTGCAGTGGCAGAGACATTAAGTTTCGAAAAATGCAAAAAGATGAGAAACACACTTGAAGTAGTTGAGTTGCATCAGTCATGTTAGGAAGCAAGTCATGTTGGCAGCAACGCAGGGCAGAACCTTCTTTTTTGCCTCCTGTGCGCGATGTTTTAGATGTGCTCCTAGCTACGCAGGTCTCTCAGCATAGAGGCGGTAGCGAACCGTGAGTTCTGCTTCCCATGCCAATAGGTCCACTGCGCAGCTCTAATCTTCCGAGCCAAAGTGGTGGATCCAACCTTTCTTGGGGCATGCTTCAGATAGGCCCTGAGATGGCTCCAAAAGCGGCCGGCTTTCACTTCATACCATCGGGCGTGTGCCCAGGGAAGCCACAGAACAGATGGTAAAAGAGTGAAGCGCACATGAAGCCCAGTACATATGACATGAGATGTGTTGATTCAATATATGCAAAAGCAAGTTCAGATGACCTTGACGTTTGAAGCTTGACGGGTATATGCAGCCAAGAGACAGTCGGGTTTAGAAAGACTTTCAAGAAGGATGCATCCATTTTCTGCACGAGTCCATTGTCAAACACACCCGGATTGAACTTCGTGATAGGCTCTGCCTTGAAGAAGTCGAGGTGCTTCGCTGTCACGATGCTGCTGGGCACAAGGTCAATGTGGTTGGCCTCTTCAATCTCATACTTGGATTGTGCAAATAGGATCGTCTTGGAACCAAGAGACTTGCCCACGCGTGTGTGGCCAATCCATGTGATGAAGTGTTGCCTCATGTTTGGCAGCATCTTGGCTAGAACATCATCCAGGAACCAAGCCACGAAGGATTTCAATGTCAAAGGCCAATATTCTAAGGTCGTAGTAGTTGTTCAATGCCTCTCCGACTTTGCCCTCCTGCCATCCTTCGAGCTTGCCACCTGGCATGTGCACCTGTTCATTTGCCCACTCCATAAACTGGTTTCTGTTGTTGGATCTTGATCCACAATCTCGAATGAAGCGGTAGCCATCTTCACGTGCAAGTTGATCCATGGTCAACTTCTTTTCAAATTTGGGGGATAGATGCCTGATTCGCATTTGCTTGCCACCAAGTCGGTCCTGCATGAGGGTCAAAGCCATGAGACCAATTCTGGCATAAGAACTCCAATCAAATCGCAAGGGGCTTCCTTGGCATAAGTGCATGCAATCTTTGCTCGACAACTTGTTTCTTTGCAGATAGATGTGCCTCAAGACATGGAAGTACGGCTGCTCATCATCTGGTGGATTCTTCGAAGGCAACATGAAGATCTGAAGGCTGTACGGCACGGTGGGCTCAGATTTGAATCTGAAGGGGCCTGGAAGCTCACGGTACTTCGCCTGTGCACAGAAATTGTACACAGTGTTGTCCCAAAAAGCAACGGAGGCATCCACAGCCACATTCAGGACAACATCTGCGAACTGTTCTAATTTGCTACCGGTGTGGGAGATGTCGCGGACAGGCAGATCACCTGAAGTGAGGTCGCCCGAAGGACAATCAGGTTTCAGTTTGCGCAATGGTCCTTTCAACTTTTGTCCGTTCACTGCCACACATGCTTCCTCAAAAGTAAGTGTGCCATCGCTTTCGCTGTTGTCACGGTTCCAGCTGTGTCCACGAACTCCACATCGATGTTCGCCATGGCGTGTTGATGAGGATGGTGAAACAGATGTGCGAGGATGGAAACACGACAGTTTGATGCTGCAGATGTAGGCAAACAACAAGGATCAAGTCAATGTGAACTTCGCAAAGTCATGGTTGATGAATGCAATTCAACTGAAGACATGCAATGCTAGGAATGAGATAATGATAACAAGACTGATTTTTCTCTGAAATGCAATCTTCTCTCTTCATAGATACTAATGTTCCTTCAGCAGTTGCACCTACACACTGGTAGGAATCTATCGTATGCACCAAGGACTTGCAACCATGTTCATGGCAACTTGCAAGAAGTCTAAGTTCGCATTGATCCACTCGCTGTCTGTACAATCATCAACAGGATCCGGTAACATCAGACGATATTCCATTTGATCGACAGACAGGAACTGGCACAAATCCGAGTGTGATTGTAAAGGTCTTGCCGCTGGCCTTCTTCACCACACACTGCAACGGAACGAAGTAGCTCACGGGCATGACGCATTTGTCTTTCCCAGGTATGAAGAGAAATCATCAACAACAGGAATGAAATGCAGCTCCTTGTCATTCTGATGAATCAAAGCAGCATATTTGCGCATCAAACCATCCCTCACCACCGTTTAGATGCCCTCTGTGAGGAAGGCAATGAGGAGCCACGAGCGTCATGCCAGAGAGACATTGAGATAGCGCGAGATAATATTTATTTGCTTAAGCTGAAGCCAAAAGAAAAACAGGTTCATATGTGAAGATTGGCCAGGAATGACATTGACACAGCCAAGTTGAGGCAATCCATCGGGGCGAGGGTTGTCGTGCTAGGGCTACCCGACTAACGACGCGCCAGGGAACCCAACCAGTGCAGGAAGCCACGCAGAAGTAGAACAACAAAGAACAAGATACAAGTAGACATGTTGAAAAATGGTTTCCAATCATTGCAAAGAAATGTGTAAGCAAGAAGACAACATCTTACAAAGTGGAAATGATGAAGCATCTCACAGATGGATCAATTTGAAGCAAATGGAACAAAGCAAAAACCAGAAAAAAAACAAAAAGCATCGAAAAAACAAAAAAAGCAATATTTTGAGACTCTTTGGGGAGAATCCCAATGTAAAAAAAAACAACCTTGAGAAAACCAAAAAAACACATCGAAAAAACATATGGGAGGGGGTCTAGCCAAGAGTCTCAAAAAACATTTTCTTTTTTAGTTTTTTTCGAGTTTGTTTGGGTTTTTAGGTTTTCTCCATGGGGCCCTCCCCAAAGAGTACCAACACATTGCATTGGCAGATGCTGTGCATTGAAGATAACCTAACAAGCAAACACATTTTAAAAAATCAAATATTGCATTAGCAGATGTTTTGCGTTGAAGATTACCCAAGAATCAGACACATTTTTGAAGCATTTTATGGTGTAAATCTCAAGGGAATATATGCTTGGGGGGGTTCTGGGGGGAGTGACCATACATATACATATATATATATATTGCCTTAGATACAGGAGTTGAATTTCATCCCATAGCCATTATGGGCCATAACTGTTAAGGGCACTGTGCCAACACTGGTTGCGAATGGCACCTTTAGGCTGGATGGGAACCGCAGGAGCATGGGATTTTGCACAAAATCGTGAGGAATGCAATCAACAATATGATGAGTGAACGTGTAATGGGTATACCAGTATATAATAGTGATTCAACAAATACTGTAGGATTTAGTGTTTTTTTAAATGAAAATTAATCGATTTAATCAAACACGATCATATAATGGACATACTGGTTTGTAATGGTCATACTGGGGATATTATATGGTGATATTCTAGGTAGGGCCCCCGGGATAGTTCATGGGGATACATCAAGCATTTGACCTTAATGGGGATTACAGGAAGTTCAAGGCTACCCCAATGATAAGCCAACAGTGGAGCCAGCTTGATGTATGTTAGTTACCCGCTGTATCCCCCATTTGCAGATGTATATCACTAGACCCATATCTATTCAGGTTGAAACAGCCTCCGGTAATGGGAGACAATGGCACTCGAAAATCCAAGATTTGGCAAGGTTGCTCCCAACAGCTCAAAAAAAGGGGGGGCAAATTGGATAAAAAAGTCGGAGGTAAAAAATCGCGAAAAAATCCTACCCTTGTGGCCATTATTTACCCATAATTAGTTGGAGCAGCCCCGTTTGGTTCGATGATTTGACAGATTTGAAAAATTGTCACAGTTGATGACCCCAAAGGTCATCCATGACGACTGGATGATGACTGGGGGCACTTCCATGACTTAGGACACACTTCATTTCATCCACAAACATCACCCACAAACATCCATAAACCATGATTAAGGATATTTACTCATTGGATTGGTTTAAGGGAAATTGTACAGTAACCCCCTACATTTACAGCAAAATGGTAAAAACCCGTGGGTTTCCGGTTAAGATTTCCCCAACTAAACCAATCCAATGATTTGCACAAATTTGTTTGGGACCTTTTATGCGGCCGTGAAAAATATGGGCAAGGGATGATATTCTCCAGGCTCTGGCTGGAGATCATAGAGTTTGACGTGCCCCAACAAAAACGTTGATTTCACGACTGGATTTCGCTGAGAAAAAAGCCAAACGTGAAATGGCAGGGTTTCCCTCTAATCAAACGTTGCTGGAAAAGCCACCATTCAGTTAACTGATTTTCCCAGCGAAACCTCCATTTTTACAGGAACTTCAGGGTACCCCCAGCCATAGAAATTGGGGGTATATCCCCTGAAATTTAGGCCTGAAAAATAGGCCAAACATATATGGTAGGTACCTCCAATAAATCGGTTCCTGAAATGCCCATTGACCCAGTATTATTGAGATAGACATGGGTATCACTGCGGGGTCCATCAAGCCATTCGTGGTCATGCGAGAAGGCATTCCTCCGTTGGCATCATAGGCCGTATAAAATGGAGGAATGATGACCAGCCCTTTTATGGAACAATATCATCTGGTAAGCCCCCATGGCAATTGATTTTCCCAACTTTAATTGGAACGCATGAGATGATCATCTATGTGATTTTTCGGCACGTGGAAACATTATAGCAACCCAAAAACCATGCCAGAAATTATGGGAACACCTCATCTATTTCGCATCCTGGAAGCACTTTTTGGCATCTACTTGGGGACATGTTTATTAAATGATTCTTGGTTGTGAACCCAATTATATCGCCATAATATCCCCAATTTCACCGTTATCTTCTCATAGTTGATAGCTGGCTGTACTGGTGGACCCCTATAATGTGGTAAACCTAATGCCATCATCCCATTGCTAGGGGGTTCACGTATTTTCATCAAGCTCAAAAAAGGGAATGGTTTATGGCATGGGGTTATTATTGATTTCTACCCCCCCATCCCATCCTATAATTATATACTTTATGATACTTGATGCTGATATCTCATATGCTAATAGTTTTATATAATTAAATGCATCTATGTATATATATATATATACACCATAGTGTATATTAGTAATATATCTATACATATATTAATATATATATATATATACATTGTAATATCCCTACTGCAGGGTGAACCATCCAACGTTGTTTCCGGGGCACACTGGGTTCTGATGGAGCCCTGGGCTGGCGGGGTGTCGCTTCATGATACTTGGGGGTGCGGGTATCATCCCACTGAGGACAATCGGAATTGAAAAGTGGTTAGTCACCATGGTGAAGTAAGTTTGTGAACATAATGAACATAACTCCAATTCTTTTTGGATTTAGAATGCATGTATCCAAATAGTTAATGGGGTTATAAACCAACTTGTAGGTGGCGGGGCACCACCTTGTACAAATATTGGGTATCTGGGGATATCATGTGAAATCATTCTGTGGATGGACACGCCAGCCTGCACCAGTTGGGAACTATTGATCACTATTTTTAAAATGTGGTAAATGATCGGATTATAGTGGTACCAACCATCTACCAGCTGGTGCAGGATTTCTTCCATCCACAGTAGGACACAAATGTAGAACTTAAATTAACCAATTATGATATCTGGATATATCTGGGATTTCTCCAAAACTAAGGATAAAACAATCCAAAGATTTGCAATCTAATGAGAACAGAAATGATACTATGTTCGAATTGGAGGTACGCGCCGCTGGACATTTGCGGTTGCTGGTGAAAGTCTGTCCTCCCCAATATTGAAGCAGCACGAAAGAAGACCTCTTTGAGTAGCATCTATTGTTGATTGGGGGTCCAGCATAATAAAGGTGGTTTAACAGTGGTTTAATACTTTTTTCCGGAGGCGCTGTTTCTGTTCGTAAGCGGCTGATCTCTTTAATCAATATCAATCATCCAGTTCTTGTTTCTTCCACAGATGCCACGAAGCTCAAAACTCCTTGTACATGAGAAGATGGTGTGATGCTGAATGCTGCTGGTACTCTATGACAACCACATCAGCTTGCAGGAGGTTCTTGAGATCTCATTGTCGTGGCAACATTCAAGCCACGTTGTCGGACACACGGCCGCAGAACTCACCTCTCATTCCGGTTTATCCTGGCTAATCTTATTTGCTCCGCATAAATATGATGTCTTCAAAAAAGGTCCTCCATTCATCACAATGGCTCTGAATTGTTTTTTGCCGCGATTCATATAATTAGGTTGGTTGAAGGGAAAATTACCAGGAAGAAAGGGGGTATCCTCTAAACTCAGTTTTAATGTTTTGATGGAACTCTGGGCTCACACAGTAGCAATACAAACCAACCGTTTGCGTCCCCAAGCGCGTTTAGATGGCCCCCCGGAAAAAATCACTCAAGATTCAACACAGTCTCCCTAGGAGTTGGCTCGGAATTCAACAATGAACGTAAGGCTAAGGGTCAAAACCAATGACTTTCCATATGAATGAGAGCGTTGAACATCCATTTGGGGAATTTGTTCTATTTTTTTGTATGTAACTGACAAACCTAAAATGAATCAAAACATTGACCATCATGCGGAATCAGTAAGGTTGTTCTGAGGTGGTTGAGTTTAAACTGTTGTGAAAACGATGGTATTGATTGGGTAGATCGGTTTTGAACAACCTCAATCCCAATAAGACTTCCCCCGAAACTCAAAGTACTGAGTCTTTGCGTCTCGGTCTACATTCCGATTCACCCTCTTTGTGCCAGGGTCTCCGTCATTAGGGATTCTTGACACAAATCGCATATGAACCCTTATAATAAGGGGAGGCCCATTAGGATTTTCGGAGGTTTGAGGCATAAACATAGGAGATCATAGGTAATTATTTTGTCCATCAGGGAATTCTTTAATTCTTCGGATTTCGGTTATCAAAGGATAAATTTTGGTAAATCACGAGGTAAAACATGGGGTAACAGCATCAATCTCTCTTTGTGGCACTCATTTAATCTCATTTCCCTACGAAAAACCTTGGGGGAAACCTGCTACATGCCCCCATGCACACTTCAATCCATGAACGATGCAACAAAGCAGATTTCTCCCAAACTCGGGACCCTCAAAATCCGTGGGTTATATCCTCCACTAGGATGTGCTGGCCCTACGAATCGTAAATGGTTGATCCATATACCCCATATCTATAAATATATGGGTATATGGATCATAAACCATTTTAACCATTTATGATCATAAACCATATGTTTTTTTTAATCATCCCAGATATAAGTGGGGATATTCCATGATCTAAATGGTGGTATACAAATATGACCCAGTTACGATGCGGGCCGAAAAGGGTCCGCACCCCCCAGCATGGCCATGGCCGATTTCCCGCCAAGGTACAGGACCGCATCGCAAGGACCTCTTTTGTCATCAATGGAAATGCGTACGACGAAAGGAAACTTGCCCTGCCAGGCGAGTGGGCTCGAAACTGCGGGAGAATTCAAAGTGTTTGGTCCTGTTTGGTGTTTCATCTCAAAAAACATGGCTAATTTAATATAAGCTGCGAAACTTGAAAAAATGCAGCGTTCCCATTCGTTCTCTCGTTTTTTCCAAGGCTCGTTACAATGTTACTTCCTAAATGAGTGAAACACCAAACAATGTTTGTTGCTTCAACAAGTATTTTATGCAGATTGAATCCACACTTTGCCTTGGTGGTTTGCTGATCGGATCATCTTCCGGTCATGGCTAGCCCGCATTCAAAACTCTTCAAAACAGATATTGGCTTCGGTGGTATATGAAACGTGTTTAGCAATGAAACTGGTGACCGCGGTTCATGCAGTTGTAGCCCCACTCAGCAGATATTCTGCCTAGTTACGAGATGTTTGGGGCGCCTTAAAGCATGTTCCCAAGGTTTTTTTTACCGGAATGCTACCATCTGGCAATCAAGCGTATCCATGGAATTACCTACTTTCATGAGTAATTTCCATTGTAAACTGCTAAGCTAGGTTACGCCATGACGGGTGGCGTGTGGGCGGCAGCGTTTTTTTATCCTTTAGGGCCTTAGGGTTTCCATTTGCAAATCTTTACCACTTCTTGACGCATCTGTGCAGGTGTGAATTTGTCATTCACATGCTTGTTACGTCTTCCAAGTTACTTCAACATGTTGACAACGTAGCATCAAGAGCCTCAAGAGCGGCATCCAAGTTACTTCAAAATGTTATCAGCGTAGCATAAAGAGTGTCTTGCAAGTTGCTTCAGAATGTTATCAACGTAGCACCAAGAGCGTCTTCCAAGATACTTCAACATGTTGCCAACGTAGCATCAAGAGTGTCTTCCAAGTTACTTCAACAGGTTGGCAACGTAGCATCAAGAGTGTCGTCCAAGTTTCTTCAACATGTTATCAACGTAGCATCAAGAGCGTCTTCAAAGATACTTCAACATGCTATCAGCGTAGCATCACGGGCGTCTTCCAAGTTACTTCAACATGTTGCCAACGTAGCATCAAGAGCGTCTTCCAAGTTACTTCAGCATATTATCAACGTAGCACCAAGATCGTCTTCAAAGATACCTCAACATGTTTTCAACGTAGCATCAAGAGCGGTTTCAAAGATACTTCAGCATGTTATCAACGTAGCAACAAGAGCGTCTTCAAAGATACTTCAACATGTTATCAACGTAGCATCAAGAGCGTCTTCCAAGTTACTTCAACATGTTATCAACGTAGCATCAAGAGCGTCTTCCAAGTTACTTCAACATGATATCAACGCAGCATCAAGAGCGTCTTCCAAGTTACTTCAACATGTTATCAACGTAGCATCAAGGACGTGGTCGTAAGAACGTTAACATTCCCACCCCACCCCACCCCACTCCATTCCATATATATATATATATATAAAAACGAACATCACCCAAAACGCACAGACCACCAGTCACGGCGTTAACAGTAATGTAATGTAGCTGTGGAAGCCATCGCCCATTTATAGATGCTAAAAATGAGAATTTTATATACGTAAGTTATACCTATCAAGATGGGGTGATTTTACTTGGCAACCTGTTAAGTAACCGGCACGAAACGATACCAGGACAATGCTTAACCATCTCTGCAGGCGCGAACAGTTTGCTTGGCGGATCTGTGGTCACAGCAAGACAACCTGGGGGTTTTGGGGCTGCATCCCATTTAGTAAATGGGTTATATGATGTTATATGGCCCAGTTATACTAGTTATATATATATATATTTATCTGCAATACTAATAAAATGCAATATATACATAATGTCATAATTAATGATAACTATATATATATAATATATTCTGTCTCTCCGTGACATTAGTCTCTGGCATTCCATGTGACATGTGATGCGTAGCGTTCGGGTCTGGCAAGGGGGGAGTCACGCGAGGTGGTTTCTGCGGGGAAAAAAACGTTAGACACCTTGAACTGATGGGGAAAACATGATCTACAGCGTCCAGGAAACCTTTTTTCGTTGCTATGTTTCCCCAGTGTCCCAAAGAACCGTGCCTTCTTATGCTCTTCAAGCAGTTTGGGCTCCCACTCCTGAGATGAAAAACAATCAAAGGCAACGACCAAAGAATAGATGGTTAAGGTTCGCCCTTATAAACACGCTTGTTGGCGGTTAATAAGCCCATCGTAGACCCCATGATATAGGTATTGTAGTTTCGTGATGTTTCATGTAGTTTATAAAACGGCTAGTGAGGGGTAACATGTCCGGAGGGAAATGGCTAGTGAGGATGTTAAACTCTCAAAACCACAAAATATGTCCATGGTGTTTTCCTGTGTTTTTCGGGTGGAAAATGCCTCCTTTATCCTGCCGCGGATTATTTACGATCACCAACATATAATCAACATATATGTATGTATATATATATATGTATATGTGTACTAATTCCGCCGAGGTATTTCGATTTTACGGGTGGGAAAGGGTGACTCTAGGGGGAACAGATTGTGCCAGATAAGCCTCGAAAAAAATCAAAACCATCAATTCCAGCTTCGGTTTGGCAAATGCACTGCGAAATCACTCAAACCTGTTTTTTTTTCAGGCACACATGCTCTGATGGTGTGTTCGGCGGAGATCTTCTGGAGAAATTTGAGATACATATGTTACAAGTCGGCAGAATATGCTCAATGTTGTATTACTGCATGGTGTGAAAACCTGAAATCAAGCTGAGAAAGACTTCTAAGCAAAAGTGCTTGAAAAAAAATACGGAGGCCTGCAGCCCGATTCCACTACCCAAACATCTCCTCTCCAGGCTGAGATTGTCAGCAGACTGCTCACGCGTGGTTCCGATGTGGCTGGCTCGAACCGGTCAAAAGAAAATAAAACATGTTGCAATGTCTCTACCTCTGCCGTGTATTTTTTTGCCTCCAAGCTTGCCCTGGAGGCTTCAGCAAGCCACAGTGAACCTAGCCAAGGGCCACTGACTCTGGCACCTTCACCGTGCGGAACTTTCAGAAAGGGAGCCCACGCCAAAAAAAACAAACATGACTGAAGTTATAAGCATATAGATTCCTATGCCTTGTTATTTGCACTTCCGCCATGCGGCCAAACAAACATAGTCAAACCAAATTTTGTTTGGAGTGGCCCCGCTGTTCCTCACATTGGTCTGAGCCATGAATTCTGCACAATCAGCCAGCAGACTGCTCACGTGTGGCTCAGGCGTGGCTACTTCGAGCCGGTCAAAAAAAAAGAATGGAACATGTTGAAATGTCTCTGACGGGTATTTGTTTGTCTCCAAGCTTGCCCTGGAGGCTTCAGCAAGCCACAGCGAACCTAGCCAAGAGCCACTTGCACTTGCACTTGCACCATGCGGAACTTTCAGAAAGGGAGCGCGCGCAAAAAAAACACAAACATGACTGAAGTCATAAACGCATTGATTCCAGATTCCTATGCCTTATTATTGGCACTTCTGCCACGCGGCCAAACAAACATGTTAGTCAAACCAAATTTTTGTTTGGAGTGGCTCCGCTCCGCTGTTCCTCACATTGGTCTGAGCCATTCTGTACTTTGCTACACTTGATGTACTCATGAGCTGCCGAATCACTCCTTGGCCTTCATCCTGCGACGCTTGGCGGGCTGCGGCTTAGGCTCAGCAGAGGGAGTAGCCGTGGGTGCCGTGGACGCAGATGCCGATGATGGGGCTGATGGCACGCGCTTGTTCTCAAATTCTTTTTCCACATCGGCCGCAGAAGCTGCTTCTGCAACTGTCTCCTCAAAGTCTTGGTTGGGTGGCACTGCCCCAGCATCTGCTGCGGCCTGATCTGCACTTGCTTTGCACAACCCTTCCAAATCTTCCCCGCGCAAGCGCGCAGCTACAACTGCGTCTGGGCCTTCAGTTTGAGACTTGCCCGACTTGTCGTGCAGCCACACCAAGAAACCCCGGAGATCCTGGAATCGTTTGACTTCTTCCTGCGTGGCACACGCCCAGGTTGCAATCTCACGGCCTTCAGCTTTCTTGGTTTTCCAGAACTCAGAGAACAGTGGGTGATCCAACGCCCGGGCCCGTTCCACCTCAAACGTGCTGGCTCCTGCTTTCTTGAAATGCCTGCGGAGAACATCAACGCCCCTCGGGCGAACAGTGTAGTCCAGAGCGGTTGCACCCTCAATGCCGCCCTGATTCGCCACATCAGGTGTAACGACTGGCGCGGGCGCTTCACCAGGTGGAACGCCTTGTGGCGCATCTGCCTCACAGGGTGCCACTTGCTGAGCGGCTTCTGGTGGCTGACCAAGCGGTGCCTCGTCTGCAAGCTTTGGAGCGGCCTCAAAGGGTGGCTGACCAGGCTCTGCCTCTGCTGCGGGTGGTGCCTCGTCTGCAGGCTTTGGGGCGGCCTCAAAGGGTGGCTGACCAGGGTCTGCCTCTGCTGCGGGTGGTGCCTCGTCTGCAGGCTTTGGAGCGGCCTCAAAGGGTGGCTGACCAGGGTCTGCGTCTGCTGAGGGTGGTGCCTCGTCTGCAGGCTTTGGAGCGGCCTCAATGGGTGGCTGACCAAGCTCTGCCGGGGCTTCCGAAATACCATGTTGGCGACGCAGGAATTCAAGAAAATCTTCCAAATCTCCATCAGGGCAACCATTGAAGTCCCCGAAACACCAATCCTCATCATCACCATCTGCTGCAATCCTCGCCTTCGCCTCCACGAAGAAAAGCTCAAACAGCGGGTGCTGTCTTGCCCGCTCAAGTTCCTCCTCCAAAGGCTTCACGTCCTCACGAACAAACCAATCAGTCAAGTCCAGGTCGGCTGCTGCTGGCGGATGGTCGAAGTTGAGCTGGAGCTGGATATCTTTCAGAGGCAGAGGTCGCTTGGCGGCCTGTCTGGGCTTGGGGCTGTGCACCTCTGACTTGACTTTCCCCTTCATGACCAAATCCAAGTATGTGACTCCATCCACAAAGAACGGGCGCATATGGTCAAAAAGGGCGCTGCCTTGACAAGCTGTCTGCGCAAGTGACAGAGTGTCACGAAGACTATCCACGTGGCCTTCGAAAAAGGAGCTCGTCCACAGCCCCACTTGCACCTGCGGCATGTTTAGAGGCAGCTGGGTGTGAGCAGAATCACGCCCCACAAAGCCACCAGCACTGGTTCAGAATCCTAAAATTCCCCACCTAAAAAAACAAATCAAATTCAAACTCTTTAAGTAGTGAGAAAGGCACCAGGAATTGGCAGCCAGGTGATCTGGTTGCATCATCCAGATCTGAAGGAGCAAAACCTTCTGGTAGCAAGCCCTTTCCTGCGAGGAAAACCATGCACCCTGGAGGAACAATCGCGGCTTGCCCGGTTCGAAGGAACACGTGCCCGCCTGGCAAAAGTAACAGGCATATCTTAGTATATATATATGTATAATATTATATAATGTATATACATTATCTTATTTATATATATATATATATATATACATCTCAAAGTGACATATGAAACCCCGTACCGTGCACACACACTCACAGCTCTTTTTCCAAACCCTGCCAGTGTTCAGTTTCACCTGCTATCCTCAGGTTTGCTTTGGGTCGGTCACTGTGTGACACGCACATAGCCTCAGACCAGTTTCACCCCCCTCTGGTCAGCTACCTGGTCACCCCAGGTTGGAACCTGCTTTTGCAGGTATCACCCGTCCCTTAAAACAAGGGGGGTAAGCACTCTAGTGGTCACCCCATGAGAGCGTCCTCAAACAGAGGCTATGTACTCGCCTGCCGGGCAGGATCTTTACCTAGGCGGACAAGAAAAGCAATGAATGCTATTTTGGTTCAACTCCACTTGAGCCAGCCAAAATGATAGCATTCATTGACTCACTTAAAGATGATACATGCAAACCCAAGCCTGCCAAGCTCAATGCATGGGTATATATACCTACATGCAGATTAAAAGTATATGTATAAATCATATCAACGTGTGTGTGTGTGCAAGCAATGCAAAGTCTCAAATGCAAAGACAAGGAGACTTCAAAAATCAAGTGAGGTGACTGACAGGATGTTCCGGAAAGAACACTGCGACGATAACAATTTCAGAGCCCGGCACCGTGTGCTGACTCAACATCGCTCAGCGTCATGGTAGATAGGTACGCAGCACACTGTTGCATCGACCACTTCCACTGAACAATCTGTTCCTTGAAGAACTTGAACGGAATGCACACAAGAAAGATGCCACCTTTGAGGACCGAGATGAAGCGTCCCCACATATAATCGGTGACTCCAGTCCAAGTCCAAAACTCCCCGACAACTTGCAGCCTTGGGCACAAGTAGTTGTGGACGACTGGGCGCTGTTCATCATTCAACCTGTCAGGCAATGTCTTTCAGAGGCACAATCTAACTCTAAGTGGGCTTCTTCGGACTAGGGTTGAATGAAACCTATTTTTTTAAATCAATCACTCGCAGCAAGCAATAAAAACGAAAATCAGTCGAGCAACTGCGGCAGCAAGGCGGTTATGCCTTCCATCAAATTTGCAAAGCACTCCTGAAGCTGCGCAGGGAAGTCCTTGCGCTCAAAGAAATGCTTGGACTTCTTCTGCTTTGCCCCCGCCTCTGCAAAGAAAGATGAGGGCAGGTCATCAAATTTACCTGCAAGGTCTCGCAAATTGAACATGCCCGGCTCGAACTTGATGAGCACAAGGGAGTGCGCATTCAGGAAACACCAGCCTGATGCGCAGCATGGCCGCAGCAATGCCACAGCATCAGTGAGAAGGACCACAACGTCATCTCGCTCCCCATCTCCGTCATGACTTGAGCCCGCACCGCCAGAATCCTCGTCCTGGCAACTGGCATCGCTGGCATCACTTTCACGCTCAGCCTGCGCCTGCTGTTCCGCTGCTGCGGCACCCTTCTGTCGGGCGTCTGCCCGGCAAGCCTCAAACTCTTCAAGCTTTTTGCGCTTCAACTGCTCAAGCCTGTCCAGGAAAGAACAAAGTATGCAGGCTGCTGCAACATGCCACTCAAGGTTTGAGCGTATCACATGGCATCGGTGATTGAAATGCTTTGGAACATTCTGCCTACCCAGGGCCAACCGTCAAGGTCCTCACACACACACACAAACATGAAAGACAGGCCTCTGCGCGTGAGCCTCCGCTTCTTCCTTCGCAGTCTGCAACGCATCTGTCGTCTTGTCCAACTGAGCAAGGGCCTTCTTGAGCGATTGCTCACAAGAAGCCATGATCTTCTCGTAGTCAGCCAAAGCTTGCTTCGTAGGGTTTGCAAGAATTGCGGTCCTTTTCTTGCCACTTGTCGGGCTCAGCTTTCCAACAGCGGTTTGCCGGTCAAATTTGCCAAGGACAGAATCCGGAGGAGGGTTGAGGCTTTCAGGCCCCAATGCCAGCAGCTTCTCCAAGCGAGCAATCACCACTTGAGCGAGCCTACAGCCCAGGACAAATGTGTTGGGCAGAAAGCATGTGAGGCCAACCGGGAATCAAACAAGTGAAGCCTGGAATCTTGAAGAATACTCTCAACGAAGACAAAACAGCTTGCAAGCAAGCAACTCATCACAGTCCGAAAATTCCTCCGCCCTCTTAGTGCTGAGGGAGACTTCAGCAATCAGTTCTTGAAGCTTCTCAACCCACCTGTTCTTCATGACAAGGGCCTTCCGTTTGATTTCCAATGCTTCCAACTCTGCGTCTGCGGCTGCCTTTTTAGGCTTCTTTGGCTGATTCTCTTGGTCTGCTGAAGGTTTCTCTGGCTTCTGATTCTTCTGAATCTTGCTGGGAGCAGCCGACGGTTTGCGTTTCTTAGCAGCTGCAGCAGACGGCGCGCCCTGAGATTCCTGCAGCATGGGCCTGGTGTTCATGAAGTTCAAGCCTGGTGCTGACGGAATGAAATTGAAGGGATGTTAAGAATAGATCTCTTGAATTTGAACCAATCAAGCGCCAGACTTAGCAAATCTCCGGCTCCCACTTGAGCATCGAATCTGGACTCAAACAGACCTGGGACGCCGCTTAAACAAGAACATGTGCATCTTGCTTCGCAACTAAATCGCGGCCTTGCAGATTTCAAAACTCAGTCAGGCACCTTCCCTGATCCTCTGCATTTCTTGGGGGTCGCTGCCAGCATCTATGGAATGCGTGGCGCCTTCCCTGACTTCCCTCGATGTGCCCACCTGGGCTCCTTGGGCAAGCACTCTAGTGTCAAGCTTCGCCAAACACAAGTTTCCGAACGCGTCATAACAGCGAGGGACTTTGGGATCTCGGACTGCATCATCCCACTGCTTTTGACTTTCAGCGTCTGACCAATTGTACCATTTCTTCCCTTTCTTCTTGAACCTGGCAGGCTGGCCATTCACAGGTCTACTTGATTGCGCAACAATGAAACCACGGCCTGATCTCGTTCAGGTACGCCGATTGGTTGTGCTGGTCTTTGTAATCGGTGACACTGACCTCACACAAAAATAAAAAACTAAATGGCTGGACACTGGGCAGCTGGGGCAAAGTTCGGGCAGCAGGGGGCAAAGTTCCACGAACCGTGAAACAAAGCAAAAACAGAGGGCCGGACAGCGGTGTTCGTGATCAGCTCACGTTTCTTGCCCCTGCCGCCTTGCCCTTTGTTGTTCTTGATGTACTCTGACTTCTCTCCCGCTGTCAGTTTGTTCCAATTCCCTACGTTGTCACGACAGAACCTGTAAGAACTGTGACACTCACAGCACTTCACCTGGTTGCCATACTTACGTGTGTCTGCTGCCGGTACCAGGTCGCCACAGTCCATACACCTCATGAACACAGCAGAAAGGGCAAGACGGACAATCTAAAAGGAGCACTGGGAGTCATTGGCACCTTTCTCAACTGCAAACTCAACAATGCGAGCACAGACACTTGATCTTGAGGTTTGGATCTCCCTCCGCCATGGCAGGGGTGGAAGGCACACATGCACCAACTTTTGAAACCTTTCGGACCTATTGCGGCGACATCATCGCTTGGTGTCAGCCATAAAAAGATGGTTTTCACGGAACTGCTGTGAACACAGCTGCAAATCTCAAAAGAAGCTTCACGCACACGACGCGCATGCACTTGCGCAGCTTGATTCTTCCCACGCACCGAAAGCATTGGTGGCCGGTCGGTCAACCCTGTCGTTTGGAGTATGACAAAACCACTGAGCACATCAGGCCTACAGAGGCACTGTGCATCGAATTTCCAGCCAATTTGCACAATTCCCTGTGGGTACACCCCTGGACCTTCACCAGGGAACACTTCATCAACCTTGCTGCTTCCAGCGTGCAAGGAATTGAGTGGAGAAGTAAAAGTTCTGAGCCATGAGCAAAACGGCCTTGCGGTTCCAGCCAAACCCGGCTACAGCCGGTTGTTAGAGCCGGCCAATGGTCGTGACCTTTCCTAGGCCGTGTGTCTGGGTTCTGGTAAAGGTCGCACAAGGTCATTCCTGGAAAAAGTTCTCTGTACCGGTTCAAGCCTGAGAACGGTTTGGGACATGCCGCTCAAACACCCACGCGGTGGAAGAAAAATACCGATAAAGAATTGATGTTTCCGTTTGCCTTGCAACAGGAAAAATCACTGAGATAGGCACGGCTCTGAAGAGAAGCATTGCACGCGTGCGTCACATCGAGAGGAAGCAAGAGGGATTTCCAAGAAGAGGAGCTTTGCTTTGACATGTTCATGCTCAAGGTTTGCACAATGTTGTCCAAGGGTCGTGTCAATTCCAAACCTTTCTTCAACATCAAAACATACTTGCGCTGACGCGCGATTGGAAAGTTTGCCACCTCTCTGGGATCCAATAGGCATACACCTGCAGGGTTGTAACTCGTGCCTGGGCGCAACAGCGCGCAAGTCAAAAAAGATTCCCCAGAGGGAACGGCTGCATGTAAAAATTGACAAGTTCAATCTACTGGCTTCAGCTGAGAAACTCAAATTGTCAATCAGTAATTTCTCCGGAAAGTTCTGCACATTTTCATGAACGATTGCATCAACATCGCCTCTTGCCAGCAGCTTTGCCCTCAGCACACAAGCAAGGGGTAGTGCTGAACAGGCAAATAAGCCATACAACTAACTGATGATTTGCACCATCTACCAGCCCTCTCTTTTCAGTCCCTAACGCTGTCAAAAACGCTTTCATCGTTTTGCCCTCAAGGCCCAGTTGGTCACCCCACCCTGTCCAATCCTAAGCCAACAGTTGTTTCCGCAGAGCCGCCAAAACGCAAGCAGCTGCACAGGAAGCAATGCAGCATTAAACGCGTCCACGAATCCCTCTGGCAGTCAGTCTCTGAATGCTTGCACAACATCAGCTCTAAAGCAAATTCCAAGGAAATCACAGCCCAGGCTCCACGCACGGGCTGCCAAGAAGCATAAGCTTCAAGGCATCTCCAAAGGTAGTGGGGAAGCGCATGCACTCTTTGTTGTGCCGGTAGCAACTTAGCCAAGCCGCAAACAAATTTAACCACCTTTGTTTCAAGGCAGTATGTGTGAAACAAAAAAGGTGCCTAAACCAAGCGACTGTGTATGAGATTTCAATATCACCGTGCTCGACATGATAATCTCTTTCAGCTCATCGTATGTTTTCCTCAGCAGGCAACCAATATGCCATACGTTTCTAAAGTGTTGTCAACACAAGGGTGTGCAAATATCAGGTTACATTTAGATGGCATTGATGAAGCGCCGCAGGGTTCTGGTTTAAGTCTCGGGGATGCACATAAACTGAACCAAGCTCGTACTACAAATATTAAACAATAAAGCGCCGCGGGGTTCTGGTTTAACGCTCCGGGATATGCATTCTGAACCAAGTTCCTACTACAAATATTGAACAATAAAACGGCTTTGCCACATAACCAGAATGCACACCCAGCTGACACACACACACACACACAAACACACACATTACCAACATGTACGCAATGCGTATGTAACCCTTCGCGGAGCATTAAGAAACAGCAGGATCAGCACGCTGAGCCTTTACATCTATAAGGTGTGTCCTTCTCACATCAAACCGCTCAACTCAAGCTTCCTAAACAATCATTTGTCACAGCTCAGATACTACACACAGATCACCACATTTTTAGTTTCCATTTCGGGACCTGTTTCCCCCCATTAAATTCCATTTCGGGAACCTGTATTTGCCTTGATTTTTCTTCTAAACATGCACCGAATCAAATGAGCACAAAAAGATAAACAAACAGTTCAGTTGCCACGTTGGTGCTGTGCTTGGATTTTACCCACCTTTCAGGGTGAGGGTTGTTAGATTTTATGTTAGCTGCCCCGCCTCATCCTCCTCCGCCGGAGCTCAACCCCAAGCGCTAGATCGCAGTGCTCCCCGCTGAACCCAAACAGCAAGCTCAGGATCAGAGTGATCCCTGCCGGACCTCAACTGCAAGTGCTAGATCACAGTGTTCCCAGCCGAACCCGAACAGCAAGCTCAGGATCAGAGTGATCCCCACCGGACCTCGACTGCAAGCGCTATTGCGGTGTTCCCCGCCGGACCAGAACAGCAACCTCTGGGCAAGCTATAGGATTTGAAAACACAATGGAAACAATGAAACTCTAGCTCTACAGCTCTATATTCATATGTATTTACCTGCTTGATCCATTCATTGACTGTTCTATATACAATAAGAGAAGGAAAAATGGCAAAGAAAGAAACTAGAGGATCGCCTCTGTCTAAGGACTGCCCGGGAGGAGCGGCCTACAGTCTTCCGACATCATCCAACAAACAGCTTACCAAGCTACTGCTATCCTCATTGCTGGCAGCAGGCAGCATTAACATAAAACCGTTTTGAAAGGCAACCCATGTCTGTTTCCTGCACAAGATCTTGTGTCAAGCACGCAGGCAATTATAGAGAAGATTGCAGAAAGGCTGTGAAAATATTGTCCAAACGGTGATAGTCAACGACAGATACACCATCCACCAAGAGGTTCGTCAATTCGTCCATGGGTTCGTCAATTCGTCAATGGGTTCGTCAATTCGTCAATGGGTTCGTCAATTCGTCCATGGTTCGTCAATTCGTCAATTCGTCAATTCGTCAATGGGTTCGTCAATTCGTCAATGGGTTCGTCAATTCGTCAATGGGTTCGTCAATTCGTCAATGGGTTCGTCAATTCGTCAATGAGTTCGTCAATTCGTCAATGGGTTCGTCAATTCGTCAATGGGTTCGTCAATTCGTCAATGGGTTCGTCAATTCGTCAATGGGTTCGTCAATATTGACGAACTAGTTCGTCAATAGTTCGTCAATATGCAGGGAAAAGCTCGTCAATATTGACGAACCATTGACGAATTGACGAACCCATTGACGAATTGACGAACCCATTGACGAATTGACGAACCCATTGACGAATTGACGAACTCATTGACGAATTGACGAACTCATTGACGAATTGACGAACCCATTGACGAATTGACGAACCCATTGACGAATTGACGAACCAATTGACGAATTGACGAACCAATTGACGAATTGACGAACCCATGGACGAATTGACGAACCCATTGACGAATTGACGAACCCATTGACGAATTGATGAACCCATGGACGAATTGACGAACCCATTGACAAAATGACCAACCTACTGACTCCTTGACACGCCCATAGACATGACAGACTGCAGGCAACCTAGACTGCCAGATGGCTGCTAGGAACCAAGACCGTCTCCACTTACTTTCTTCATAGGCTCAGCCTCAAGATCCCCAAAACATTTCAATAGTGTTCTTTTGGCAATCGAACGCAATACATACAGGTTCAACATCGCCTGTGCACCACCCCAAAGACCCAGATCCACACATGGTTTCGGGTACAAAATGCTGGAACATGCATGGCTCAACAAAGGCCCTGCATCGGCCCAACATGGCCGCACATAGCACAACAGGCCCAACAACGCTGCATTTGTACCCAGTTCCAAAAGGCACATGAATGTGTAAGGTGGGTGCTTGCTTTAGTTTCTCTTGCCTTACCTCAAAAACTAGCAACAAAATGCAAGAAGGTGAAATTAGATAGAAATAGAAATGCCCATTTACTGACTAGGAAAGCGGCAGTTAAGCTTACTATCAGTTGTGCCAGTTTGCGCTTGGGCCCTAGACGCGATGGACCAAAAGGAGTCCAAGAAGGAACAGCGTCGGCGTGTAAAAGACGCGCGCTCGTATTACGCAAGGTGTGACATCAAACGAGTGGAAATTCAAAACAACAGACAGCTCAAGCATCACGTGACATGCACTGAACGAATGTATAGAGAGATACAGAGATTGAAAGAGATGGGGAGAGAGAGAGAGAGAGAGAGAGTGAGAGAGTGAGAGAGAGAGAGAGAGAGAGCGAGAGCGAGAGCGAGAGCGAGAGCGAGAGCGAGAGCGAGAGAGAGAGAGAGAGAGAAAAAATAGCCTAGGTAGCCTAGGTTAGATTAGATTAGACCACGCAAGGCTAGACTAGACTAGGTGAGATGAGATGAGAAAGGTATAGATGTATGGATGGATAGATAGATCGATAGATGGAAAGATGGATGGAAGGATAGATAGATAGATGGAAAGATAACAGGGTGAATAGATGGATGGATGGTTGGATGGATAGATAGATAGATGGAAGGATAGATCGATTGATGGATGGATCGATTCAAACAAAACATGAACAGAGAGAAAAAGACATACAGAGATGGATGGATGGATGGATGGATGGATGGTTGGTTGGTTGGATGGGTGGGTGGATGGATGGATGGATGGATGGAGAGAGAGACAGAGATGGATGGATGGATGGATGGGTGGGTGGGTGGATGGATGGATGGATGGATGGTGGGTGGATGGACAGATAGACAGACAGTTAGATAGATAGATAGATAGGTAGATAGATAGATAGACAGACAGATAGATAGATCGATCGATAGATTAGCTAGATAGATAGGTAGATAGAAAGAAAGACAGATAGACAGACAGATAGATCGATAGATCGATAGATCGATAGATCGATAGATCGATAGATCGATAGATCGATAGATAGATAGATAGATAGATAGATAGACTCAAACGATGAACAAGGCAATGCATCCACATGGAATCGCACGCATAAGTGAAAAAAATAGTATATTTGAAAAAACATATCTACCCATTTTGCACTGAACAAATATATATATATATACAATAACAAATATATATATATATATATGAGAATACATCTGTGCGTTTCTGCTTCTGCACACTCAAGAGACGAGATTCCTCCTACAAAAGCATAGCTGAAACCGGGCCCTATTGTTCAGTCTCTCGCAAAATTCGTCAAACTTTGCTGCATCAAAATCTCGTAGTGTCCATCCTTTGTGCGCTTCACCTAAAGGTCTCCTAAGAACTCCACCCTTGGTGAACAGTTTGCCACACCCAGCTTTCAAAATGAGCTTGCTGGATGCTAAAAGCAAATCATCATCTTGGCAATCCACACTCAAAGCTCTGAGTAGCTCCAACTTGGAGATGTACACTCTTTCAATGACTGGCTCATCAGCAGCTGTCTTCACAGCATCCGGCAGCAAATCCAAAATGTCCCCGAACACGCATGAATCATCGGGAACTTAGCTGGAAACAATACTGAAACAAGAAACCGCTCCTTGCATGACAATGCATCACATACCAATTTGCAGAATTTGCAGCATTTGCATGTGAAAAAGCGGAAAAGAAAACTGAAGCCCAGACGAGAATTCAGAAGAACTCGCCGGCACGCAGGATCGATATCTGCCGCGTGTCCAACTTTCACTGCGTCACCTGACAAGCCTAGATGGTGGGCGACGCTTTGAAGCGCGACCTCTGCACAACCACTGCCCGAGAATTCGGTGAAAGTCTGAACCTTTGACCACAGAGGCTTGATGCCTGACATCGATGTGAAATGCTTTGCCCATGCAAACAACGAGGAATCTCCTGTGACAGAGAGTTCCAAGATATCATCTTGATCTGGGAATTTGACATCATCCGTCCCCTTTGCGCGCACCACCTGTACCAGACATGATACGGACATCAGCCAAAAAGCAGATTCGTAAACTGTAAAACATCTAAGGCAAGTCAAGGGGGACCCCGTACTTGCAGGAGTTTCGCGCCTCTCCCCGTGCTGCAGGACGTTTCACTGACGGAAACTTGTCAACAGGGCGTTTCGCAAAGGTGTCTTTCACGGATGAAGCAGCCTCCCAAAACAAAGAAGATACTGACGATGACATGCTGAAGCCAACTGGAAGCCACAAGCCTTCTCTGCAGGAAGGTTCTTCGGTGAGGAAGTTTTCTTCAAAAGATCCTGAAAACATTTTCAAGACACTGTTCCAGGGCAGTCACAAAATGCTGCTGATAAAACACACTAGGATGCAACCGCCTTGCGTACCAAAGGCTTCCGTCGCTTTCCTTGGTCCTCCAGGCACCAAAACTAGGCAGAAAACGCTATAACTTTGAAACAGGTCATCAACTATTGGTTGGGAAGAGAGCCCCTCCTGTCGCGGTCTCATGGTGTTGAGAGAAACAAGATCAGCGTCCATCATTCTACAGACCGAGTCTTGGAGTCAAGTCGAAACATGACCTGAAAACAAGAGCCACTGACCTTGCTGAGCCACAGCTGGTGACGCAGCATGTTTGTGAGAAACAAATTGCCATGCACCTTGCTGATCTGCTGTCTGACATCACAAGTTAGGCAACACACCATCAAACTGTTTTCATTTTTCCCCTCAAATCTGGTGCAGTTCCTGTGCACGAAAACGATGACTCAGAGCAGAGGAACCTAAAGGAAAGACAATGAAATACTGCGCCTAGCTTGACTCACCAGGAGTCTGTCACAAAGTTCCTCTCACCGTGTCATAATAGAACTGAAGTATCAGGTCTTCGACTGTACGCTTACGCGAAAAATTCAAATACTGCCCCCAAAACCGATTTCCGTTTTGGTCCACAACATGAAGGCTTTGCCTTACTTGTTCTCTAGGCGGTTTTCTGCAATGCTCTGCGCTGAGCATAGTCTCTCGCAAAACAGGCAATACGAATCGGATCACCTTGCGGTGACCCTCATTGTTCACCCGGGGACGGATATCTGGTAACTCTGGTAGTGGCTGCCGCGCGCCTTCTGGTTCTGGAATGGGTTGTTCCACTTCTGGCCTCACCACTGGCACCACCAAAAGTGAAGCATCAGTTGAATACGAACAGGATCAAGGAGTATTCCCACAACATGCGCAGATACAACTACAACACATCAACTAGGTGGCAAGCCTATCCAGAACTGGTGGGATGTCTGGCATCTGTTCTGGCCTAGTGACGCAAGGTTGGACAAACAATGGAGAAACCGTTGCAAAAAGGCCCGCCGCCATTTCGAAACATCTGAGGAAAACACTCGCTTTCAACAACAAGAACGTTCACGTCGCCCGCCACGTTTTCATTGGCCACCTCATCCAGCCTGGAAAAGGGTTTAAGAATTCAACTCCCTTTCCAACAGGTTGCCTATGGCTACTTCAAACATCACAATGCGCTGGACAGAAAATCTCTAAGAAAAGGGCCCTGCATGAGGAACATCCTCCTCATCGAGCTGCCTGAAAAACGATCCCAAACTAAAAGTTCTTGATATGCGGCAGGGATGTGGCATGTAGAGAATATCAGAGCATCCCGAAGCTCTCAACATCAACATGATAGAATCTGAGGGCGCCACACTCCCCCAAAAAAATGGTTTTCTTCCATGACGTCCTCCACCTCAGCGTCTGGCCTGCGATCAGGCTGCTCAAGCATTCAGTTATTGTCAATTTGGCTAAGCACGCCTCCACCAGTGAAAGACCCCAAGTGTGGGCAGCTTTCAGTTGAAAATAAGATTTCCTTTCAAAAGAGACTTCAGTTTTCATTGATGAAAAAATCCTGTTCAAGTCTCAAAAAAAACGCAATCACAAGCACACCTGGCCTCCTGCCAGGAGAGCTATCGGACAGCTGGATTGCTTCTTCAGGTCCCGCCACCATTTCAACTTCAAGCTCATTTTGTGTCTTGTGTTTTTTCGACTTTGGCTGGTTAGTCTTAGCTGCTTCTTTCTGTTGAAGAACACGTTTACTCTGCTGCGTCCTCTGCCATTGAGGATCCAACCTGGGGTCCGGTCCTCTCGATCCTGCAAAAAAAAGGGCTGAGTCACTTCCAATGTGTTCAGAAGAATGAGGACATGCATGTTACAGTCTTTATGCAGAAAGCCAAAAAAATAAGGAAGCCAAGTCCAAAGGAGGCCCCCCCAACCAGCTGAGTTCTCTATCGTTTTTCAGTCACAACTCACGACCGCCTTCAGCAAGAAAAAGCGATAGGCAGCGGTAGCCTTCTGCAGTGAAATTCTTGGGGATGGTTTCAGCCTGTCGAATGTCTGTGGCACACGGGGTTGGACATGAAATGGTTTACTTGTGTCCAACAGTGATAATTAACAAGCTATCTATACAGCCTTGTCAGGGTCGCGCCATGCAGCTTCCAGATGACATTTGTAATATCCAGCCATGAGCACTGAATGCGAAAAGTCCCCCTTGTCCTCACACTTCTGAACATAGGCAGATCGTCGACAAACCAACAGAAGTGGGGGACAGGAAGGGAAATAAGCGCGGGACAACTACTAGGTCATTCCACATTTGCTTCTCTTAAAAGCCTAGCATCTTGTCAAAAGAAGCTCGTAGTACGATTTGACTGCTTGCTGTTTCCTGAACACTTTCTTCTCAATGCTTGCAGGTGCCCCACTCTCAGAAGGTACCCAGCCCAAAATCAGCATCTTCTTCCTGTAACCAAACATTGTGTTGGCAGCAGCAGCATTGTCATCTGGAAGTTCTATGAGTTTTGGTCTAGACAAAGTGGCCCTGGACTCCAGACATGAACTGAGCAATACCATCTTATTCTCAGAAGTTCTGGATGCAAAGTCGTGAGACACCAGCCAATCAACAGCCGGCCGAAAATTCTTCCCAAAAGACATAGGTTTGCTGCCGCACGCCGCGGCTTTCCGTCCAACCACCTCAATGGCGTGCCTCAGGAGCAAGTATGAAGCATGGGAAATGCATCCATAGCTGAGTCCTGCAAACGGAAGCTAGCACAACACAACAAATAAAGGAAACAATCAAAGCTCATTGAATAGAAAAACCAGCTACAAAACATGTGAGTCGATGATATCTTGCGACGACTCTTCTGCCATGACAGCTGTGATCGCATCCATGGACACTTCGCAAGTATGTACGACATTCGTCAACTCATAAATGTTGTCAAAGTTGTACTTGAAAAACGCACAGAGGGGGAACGCATCAACATCACTGGCGCTGGCAATGAAGCAAAAATCATCACACAGAGGTGCGGGCTCTTCCTCCAAGTCAAGGTCGATCAAACCTGAACCCTGGGGCACTTCATGTGTGCCCAACAAGAGCACGCCGACATGATCATGCCAAATATCTTGTGACCACCCAACTGTTCTTTGCATATATTTCTTGCCTGCAGGCTTTGGGTCAACCACTTGGAAAATGCAATACGTTGTGCTTCCGCAAGGGGATACCCTGGTAGGAACAGCATAATGGTGCCCTGGTTTCAAGTTGGCCTTCACATGCTCCTGGAATATAAGTGCATTCTCTACTCTAGTTCTGGACGAGGGGGCCGCTGCTGCAACCAGCGCATCTTCAAACGATGTGTCGTTGAACATGATGCTAAGATGGTGACCGGCAACAAGCCTGGCAAGCTCACACTTCGAAGTCCATGGCTCCGGCACCAGCTCACTGAACTTCCCCAGAAACCTTGTGAAATGCTCTCGGAAAGAAACCTGGTGAACATCACCGTTCAATCGTCGCCGGAGATTGGCAGAATGGTACGCAGAAGTACCTGCCCTGGCCAAACCAGCTTTTTGATGGACCAAATGATGTTTCGCTTCTAAACGCTGCATGGCTACCAAACTCAATTCATAGTAAAGCAACTCTTTGAAAAGTCCTTGGTCCATGGTGTCAGACTGGTCGCTGGCCCAGGCAGTCAAAGAGTCCATGAGCGGTGGTTCGAAAAACATTGCAGCAAATGTAGTTTTGTCCAACCTGTCACTGCGATGCAGTTCCAGCAGCTGTCTTGCAAATTCACGGCTTTCATGGACCGCTTGGTTTCGGGATTCTGCAGGCACGAGAATGTATCTCACAAGCTTTGGCATGCTCCAAGGAAATTGAGAATAGAAGGAAGTACCCTGCTCAAACCGAAACAGCATTGCAGACTTGGCAGCTGCAAAGCTCCTGGCCACCGCTTGAGCCGAATCTTTGTCCAATCTCTCTAGCTCTGCCAAAGCGGATGAGGCCTTGGGATGCCTTTGTGGCATCAGTTGCTTCAAATGCGACAAAAGTTCATCGCACTTCCCAGCTGCAAGTTCGATCACTCGCCGCCCATTCATGGGGCAAGGTTTGTTGTTCAAAGCACGCTTCTTTTCATGTGGCGTAAGCCCTTGATGAGCAGGGCAAGGGCATCCGTGCATAAAGGAATGAACTTCAAATCCCCAGGCTTGTAGGACCTTGTGGGTTGTCTCAAAGAAATTCAACTCGTGTCGTTGTAATAACTACAAATATTATTTATATTCGGTTTAGCTGGGACACACTACACATTTATATTTACAGAATAAGCACGGAACAAAACTTATGGGGCCCGTCGCTTTCAAATCAAGCGGCATAGAATGACCAGAACATCGCCCAAAACTTGCATCTATCCAGTTTACTATTGTGCAACTGTTTGATCGAGTCAGCTTCTGCATGGGAAATGTCATCTCCAGACAAAGGTTCCAGATATTGAATCAGCGCTTCACGTTTTGAAACCCAATGCATGACTTCGAAACCAAAATGCCATCTGGTTGGACAGTAGGTTGGGCAAACAAAATCAAACAAGCTAGCAATGGATCGCTTGAACTCATTTGGAATGCGCTGACTCTCATGTACACATTTCTGGACATACCTTTCGCAATGGTCCTTTTTCGAAAAGAATTTCGATATTGCTTTGATCTGGTTGTTGAAGGAAGCCCAGAGGTCGCAATCCAGTGCGAAACCCTCTTCGCCGTCAAGCATCACATGATGGACCATATGGTCGATGTCCCCCAGCGGCATCGAAAAGGGGAAACACCGCTCAGAACTGAAGCCACCCACAATATTTGGTAGCGACCAGAGTCCGGACTCGACTCCCATATCCGAAAGTAGGGAGCGAACTCTCAGCCTGGCATCATCCACCTCGGATTCCAAAGCCAGCATGCGTAACGCAGCCTTTGCCTTGAAAGTTGTGGTTGTGGCTTGCTTTCCAAGAACTTGCATGGGCATCAACCGCTGCTGGATGTCCACATGCTCAAACCTGCAGCTGCCAGCACAGAGCGGCAAACATCGAACTTTGAACATTGCTTAAGATTGCTAAAACAGAAAAGCAACACTAAACGAAACTTGGCTCACATTTAAGCGCGATGACACTGCGTCCAATTCCAAAGACGAAACTTTTGCCAATGAGATGCGGTCAATTTCACCGACCAAATAGTTCCGGTTGAATTGCGGTGATGAATCCAGGCGCAAGTGCGTTCGAAAATCATCATGGGCATTGAACAGAAACTGGCGTGCCCAGAGCATTGAAACATAGTCGATGTTCAATCGAAATTCATAAAGCATTGATTTCCGAGGAATTCTGATGGGCTGACTGCTGACATGAGCAGCCATGTCAGGGTGCAGAACCAGACTCATGGACCTTGGGGTTAGAGGACGGGACTGTTGGGGCCCCATGAGGTGCTACACTCAAAACCAAAATCGTAGCTGCTGGTACCAAGTTTGTAGCAATATAGCTAAGACTTGGGCTGCCTCACAACATCTGCCAAAAGGTCTTCTTCACCTATGCCACCCAAAGCCTTGAGGTTGTCTGCCAGCAACACGCTATCCAAAACGTACATAGGATCATACTGAATCCCCCCTTTCTCTCTGGCAGTTTGCCCGGAGGTCACTTTCAATTGAAATTTCAATTTCTCGACGAGCTGTTCTCCCAGTTCCCTCGAAGCGCTGCTAGCCAAACATTGCAGAAGGTTTTGCAAGGTTTCATCCACCGGTGACAGCGGTGAAGCGTCCAGGCGACGCTGCTGCTGCTGCTGCAGCTGCTGCCGGCGAGGCATGATTGGCAAATTACCCGGGGGCGGCTGGGCCACCAAGTCAGCAGGAGGCGCCGTGTCTGCTGCCAGCACCCAAAGACAAACCTGCGCAGCACCCACTTGGAAAACACGCGACACAGGACGGTATAAGCTATAATCATATACGGTAGTGCTGCCAGAATCAAAAGCTGATGGGGCTGGTTAAGTACGCCATAAACCCGACAAGAAAAATGAGCCGACACCAAAGACGGACACCTTGTCCCAATCAATCTGGCCATGCTCAGCTGTTACAGCTTCAATGGTTGTGCCATCGAACAAGAGCCGGTTGGAATCCTAACAGTGGGTCATGGCCAACCCAGGGAATGGACTAGTCCAACTGTCCAACCCCCTTCACCAAACAAGGCTTCAAACAAACTGCTACTTGAAGAACATGGCAGTGCAATGTGCTATTACTTGGACAAAGGCCTTTTGTGCAAACCAGGGTGCACATCCACATATTACTAGTTAGTATGGGCGTTGTAACGGATAAGCTATGGATAAGCTAAATCAGTTGCACAAATTATCGACAGGATCTGCTGAAACAAAACAAGTCTCTTGGAGCCTCCGGAATTGGGAGGAATCAGCAGGTGGCAACTTAGAATATGTCCGCCGGCCGCGGGTGGGAACCGTCGAAACCACTGGTTCTGAAAACGGCGCTCTGAAAACAACTGTGATTTGGCCGTTCTGCCGCTGAGCCAGCACAAGCTCAGTGTATACATCCGCGCTGCCATGTCTGGCAACATACCAAGAAGGGGCCATCAGCACGCAGGAACTCGCAAGCAAAGAATTTGAGGCTACCTACTTCATGCGCATGTTTGCCATGCAACGGCATGCCATGGAAAAAAAATGCAACACTTGTCACTTGTCTATTGGGTCTGCACCCTGGCCCCGTGCATATCAATTTTGGGGTTTTCTTGACTGGTTTGCAATGGTTCCACATGGTCGCCACATATCAAATCAGACCCCCTGGCGGCATATCGGCCAGCGGCCACCCACTCACTTCCTGTTGAGAGTGCGCGGCAGGGAACTCAGCAGTGCAAGGAAACATCACCATTTGAGGGGTTGACCCCTGCGAAACGCATTTTACACCACACACAGTTGATTTGTGGTGCGATTCAGTTTCTTCTTGCCCCCCCCTACCTTACCATGCCCCCATATAAATTTGAAATGGCTCAACGGAAACAGTATATATGTGTGTATATATATATATATACATATATATACGTATACTTGTATATACATATATATATAAATATGTATATATATACATTCCTTAAAGGTTGGGGAATAAGTCAACCGGTTAGTCACTAACCCTCGCAGCGTCAGGTAAGCACAACCTTTTTCTCAACCCTCATTCTCTATGTTCTTCCAACCTGTATTCCTACAGGATAATGCATTGGGTATGCCTATAGATCAATCAGCCCTGCTGATGGTGGCATTCTGTTCCAGTCAGGCTCAGATACTGGATCCTTCCAGGTATCATTTCACACCCGCTGGGACAGTACCACCCCCAATCTATAGGTATTCACAGATCTCTGTGCAAGAAGACCCCGTCTGCAGCGCAGACTACAAGTTATGAGGATACCCCACAGAGGTCCTAATAACAGGGTGGGTCAAAATCTCCGATTTAGGGAGGGCAAGGAAAACAATGCTGCTATTTTGGATCAATACTTACTTGAGCCAAAATTGGCATTGATTTTACCTTATTTAACCAACCACCAAGGAATGACCACTGTCCACCCAGGCCTGCCAAACACTAGACAGTCATACATTCCTTAAAGGTTGGGGAATAAGTCAACCGGTTAGTCACTAACCCTCGCAGCGTCAGGTAAGCACAACCTTTTTCTCAACCCTCATTCTCTATGTTCTTCCAACCTGTATTCCTACAGGATAATGCATTGGGTATGCCTATAGATCAATCAGCCCTGCTGATGGTGGCATTCTGTTCCAGTCAGGCTCAGATACTGGATCCTTCCAGGTATCATTTCACACCCAACGCACTAAGTCCAAATGCATTTAAAGAAACTCGGCCGTGCGAATGATGGCCGCTGTAGGAAGATGCCAGAGAATGGCTGGAAAAGGTGCTAGCTGCGCTGTGAACCCATTGGTTTTAAACCATGGGTCGTTCCATCCTAGCCGGCTGATCGAATCAGTCCAGTTACTTTTGGAAGGGACCCATTCCCAAAAGATCCAGGTCTTATATGCAAAAAGCAAAGCGTGGATTATGCCGCTCATGACTTCCAGATCTGGGGAGTCACTTCGCCCCTTGATCAACGTCATAAGGACCGCCACATTGTCGATGAACCACACTCCGCGCCTCTCGCGAAATCGGTGTGGTCTACAGACTAATGCTTGCAAGATAACAACCATCTCCAGTTGTGCAATCTTGCGGTCGCCTGGTTCCCACAGGGTATATACTTCCTGTGGCAAGTCTGCGATGAAAGCCTCCCTGGTGACCCCAGGATGATCCATCCAGACTATACAGAAACCCCCGGTGCCCTGCCCTGGACACTCCAGGGCTGCATCCGACGCGCCTACAAACCGTAGGCATGGGGGAGGAAAAATGAAAAACTGACGTTTCGGATTGTCCCGAAGTATCGCTTCGATGACTTCAAAACTCTTTAAAATTCGAGTCGTCAGGACAATGCCCTTCTCATACTGTCTCTCCTTGATGGGTGCAAGACCTTGAGCGCCAATACGACCATAGGTGCCTTGTTCGAGGAAGTTCATCATGCCGTAGATCTTGGAGGCTGTGCCTGAATGCAGCCGAGCTGAGGTTCGACAATCGCGCACCAAGGTTTTGATCTTGTCAATGAGACGTTGCCGGGGCCAAAAACTGATGGAGCCCGTAGAGTTCAAGTGGGACATATCGTGGTCTAGGCCGAGGAAAGCCCCTGGCTTGACATGGGCTGGTGCTTCTCCACCGCGAAGGGGGTACCAAGGATCTCATTGAGGTGTATAAATTGCCATCTGCGACGCTCCTTTGGAGCTGGCCCAGTCCACCACATTTGCGTCATCGAAGTACATGGAAACCAAACAAGCAAGAAGGCGGCGCCCCAGTGCTTCCACAAACTTGGAGTAGCGATTGAAACTTGTCACTGCCAACGGGAGCCCGAAGAGCAGGGAGTTGTAAAGTTGGAAAGCAGGTTACTGCCACTCATCATGCCACCAAGTAACAACACAGCCAAGACTCTCCTCCCTGGAGATTGGACTGTGTCGATAAGCATCTGGCCAGTCCTCGCCTCCACTCTCAAAGTGGTCATGAGCCATGTGATGATCCCAGTCACTCTGGGGCATCCAGCTCGCGACTGCTGCAACGTGTTGGGCTGGTCGAAGTGCACTGCACAGTACCAGCTTGTTGAAGTCTGATGAAAGTGCCGATTGGCCACCCACTGCTGCATCATCGATGATACGTTTCTTGCCGCTGGGTTGCACAATGACACATCGTGGGATGAGCCGGAAAGGGCGCCCTTTTGTGGCTCGCAAAAGCTCTGACCAAGTCATAGGCTGCGTGCCGAAGCCCTTGTCTGCATCCACCACACTCTGTGACAACAGAAATTCATCGTGAAGACCAGGTCGCAGCTTCGCGATAATGGCCCGGTTGTGTTCATCGGTGTCCTCGACTACATCGGCCAGGTTGATGATGCTCCCCTGTTGTGCTGGAAAAATGTTATAACAAGGCGCCGTGCCGACTGCGGGTAGCCCCGTGACAAGGCCATAGGGACAACAAGTATCCCCCCACTGGGCCATCACCACCAGCAGTGCAGTCAACCCCAAGTCCCTCTTGGCGGTGACTCGTGCAATTGCGTCTGTTTGGAGAGCGCGTAACTGGTCTGTTACTGGGGCCCATCGCCTCTTCAACTCTCTCAACATGCCCAGAGCCCGCCTCCTCCATGACCCCAGGGAGTCCTTCTCCTGAGCATGCATGTACGCTGCAAAGTGGAGGTCGGTGTCCACAACCGGCGATCTCTCCGTAGGCAAAGGGTATTGCCCCACAGTACAGGCGGCCTCGAAGTGCTCGTCTGGGTCCAGTCCAAATGGCAGAAGAGGCGGGAGTGCTGCTCGATGATTCAAGCTCCCTGCTTGCTTGCCCTCAGTGTGCCTCTGCCTAAGTCTGGTAACGCCAGACCCCCCAGCAGGGTTAAGGGGACCATCCCACTCCAACCCTTGCGCCTCACGCCATTGCACATAACTGCAGAAGGGGTGCTGGTTCACGAGGTCTTCGATCATGGGGAACTTGAATCCAGAGAACCATTCTGCCGGGAAGAGCTTCCGAAAAGTTGTGACCACAGCTTCTTGCGTCCACCTAACCACCGAAGAGCCAGCCAGTGTCGGTGCTTGCAAGGCGGCCAGGGCCAAACTCCCTCGCTTGGGCCCCCGCACAACTCTCCGGGGTGGTATGCCAGCCGCCCGTGGGTGTGGGGCTGATGCATTAGGGCTCGTGGCTTCAAACACCAAACCTGCCAAAACGTCAGCCTCACAGAGTTCCTCCTCGGCACAATCACAAACTAATGTCTTCCCTAATAGGGAGTGGAGCTCTTGTCCGAAGTTGCGTTTGATGTGGTCGATGTATAATGGCATCACTTCATCTGGGGCACAATCATGACCTGCCACAAACGGTGACTTCCAACATGTAGTAGGTAACCTGTGTGAATGATGCCCTTGCCCCACGTAGATGGCCCCAGCTGGCAACTGCCCCTCATGGATCAGCTCTTTCACCCGACCCCGGCTGGGGATCCTTGCCCGCTCCTGTGGGTGTGGTGGCTCCAGACCCAACAGGATGGCCAATGGTGCCATTGCCCAACTCCGCATTGATTGCGGGTGCAGCTCCAGCCAATGCTCCCGGCGGCCCACCGTCTCCATAGGTGGCATCCGAGGTACATGAAGCACAGCTCGCCCAACTCGTACTGCCCACCAGGAAAGCGCGACTGCAAGAGCGAAAGCCAGGCCCGCGGAATATTCTGCCTCCTCTTTTGAAGGGTATACCCGCTGGCCATGCTCAGTCCATGGCTTCCATTCATCACTGGCATGAGTATGAGCGCATAGTGCTTTGGGCCACTGAGCGATCTCCAGGACATTGTGCCTCAGTTTCTGGTACTTGCACCGTGCCGATTGGAAGACACAGGCAGAATACTCTGTCTCCCAATATTGCCCCGAGTCCATCAGCCTCTTTTCCTCGGGTAGCTCCCAATGGAGGCTTCGGCCAGGATTCTCCCTGATCGTGGCTCCTCCACGCTGCACCATTGCCTGGATCTCTTCCAGGACAAACCCAGCTGCCTTGTTGTCACGCTCCACCCTGGCTTCATCTCGGGGGTTCAGCCCTGGGAGACCTTCTGGGTGTTCATTGGAACGCAATGGCTTAGGGCTGGGCCTGCCATCGCTGAAGTGCAGTGGTATCCCTCGAGCCCTAGATTTGGTGGAGCAATCCAATGCAGCCATGATGCAGTCGGCCTCTTGTAACTGCTCGTGCAGCGGGTTGCATCGCTGAGGTCATGAGTAGGGTCCAGCAGGATGTCAATGGGCAAAACCCTCCATCCGCACCATAACAACGCCTTGCTGACCGGTGCCCATGGCCCACTCATGATGTCTGCTGCAAGGGGAGACTGTGGCGGCATAGGTGGGAAATCGACCCCAGAAGAGGCTGCCGCCTCCTCTCCGGGGCCCCTTCACTCCTTGATGTTGGCCCGGCACGTGTGGGCCCCATGCCCAGGCGCGCCACATACTCTGTCCCCCTTTGTGATGACTCCACATCGGTGGGCACCAGTAGTACACTTGCCCTTCTGCTTGCAGTCTCCCCGTTGAAAGCCCTGGCAGAGGGTTGTACCATCCCTCATCACCTTGGCGACCCGCTTGCCGTTGATGGCCTTGCCAAGGATGAGCTTGCTCGGGGATGTAGAAGAGGGCACCACCTTGCTGTTCGGTACTGGCGCCATCGCATTAGATGCCCCCGAGGGTTCACTACCCACGGGGGGTATCCAGTGAGCATCCCGTGCCTGGAAGACCTCTTTGATGATGACCCCCAGAGTCAGGGTGCTCTCCCTGAATCGGGACGTCCATTCAGCCCGTTCTTCTTGGTCTCGCGCTTGCAACCATACCATCCTCTTGGAAGGGTGCACCTGATAGCATGTCCTCTTTGCTCGAAACCAGTAGGTCATGCACACGTCCAAGGGTACCGCTGCGAACTCCGTAGAATCAGCTCCCAAGGTTGCCTCCTTGGTAGCATCTGGTGCTGTGCCAGGCGGGGGGGCGACTCCAGCGATCGCATAGGCCAGCATGAGGGTGTAGAGGCGGTCCAGGTACGACTCCACGTTGTGCTGGCATGGTTCGTCTTCATCCACTTCCTCAGTGTATAGGTTCTCGCCCAGCTTGCGCTTCTTCTGATTGGTTGTCAGCTGAAATTGTAGTGTCTTCACCTTCCACAGGTTGAACACACATAACATCCTCTTGGATAATTCCCGACTCACCCTTGAGACGGTTGTATCCGCTGGATGTACTTCCGTGGGGAACTTCAAGCGGTATCTCCGCCAGAAGGCTGTCTTGGAATCCCGCAGCTCACTCTCATTGAGCATGCTGTCCAAGTCAGTGGTCTGCACCTTAGACCGGTCCTGCTCGGCCGTTTGATAAAACAGTGAGACTGCCGCCCATGCTCTCCTCAGCCTGGCAATCTGCACCATTTTGTCATCGGTCACCCCGAGCTTGGTTACCCAAGTTTCCACCTGGGCCCCATCATGAAAGAAAAATCGAAATTCCTCAAGGTTGGCTATATCTTCTCTTTGATTAGCCCCTTAACGATCACGTCGTCGAGGCTGAAGTTAACCCCTAGTGCCGCTAGGGAAACTTCTGGGGTCCCCCCCTCTCTAGGTACCAACCCTGATGAGCTCATACGGGTTACTCCCGCACCAGCCCTCCTCGGTCCCCCGAGGAGTCCTAGGCTGTCTTGAGCAAAAGCTGAAGACATGGGCCTGCACGCGGTTACTCCGCTCAATGAAATGAATCCCAGGACCCCCTGGACACAGACTCCCCTCCCCGGCATTCTCAAACTGCTCTCAGTTCTGGTATGCCTAAAGGGAAAAACCTAAGAAGCCTCAAAGGGAAGGTTGGGATACAGCACGACTAGCGATCTCCCTACTGCCTGGTCCCTATAGCTGAGTACTTCAGCAATACCACAAGTCTTGCCCCGACAAGGATCCCTCCCCCCCGGATTACTTTCCTCACATTTTCACCAAAAGTGAGCTGTTATCCGAGGCTCTGATCCTGTCAAGGTAGCTTGAACCAAACAGACGGACATCTTATGAATGAATTAAATAAAAGAGAGGATCGGAGAGCTCCACTGGCCCCCAAAAATGCATACCTCTCCAAGCTCTTAGCCTGCAGAAAAAGGTTACCTGTGATGCCTCCCTGATTTCAGGTGGCTTCACTTGCCCTGCTCTGCTACACTTACTCAGAACCTGCGTCGCGTGGAAGCCATGATGCTGGGGCGCGGGCCAAGCAAGCTCTGCACCACGGTCGATCCCAAGCCACTGCCTCATCGCCATCCTCGGTGAACATCGGGTCAGTCAAGCGCTGGGCCTTGTCCGACGCTGGTGGTGCATGCATAGTGGCACCTGCTTGAAGCCCTGCAAGTGGAGTGCGCTCCTCGGAGTTGCCAGATATCCCGATGGGCGTGGCCAGCGGTCCCTCCGCTTTGTGTTCCTCGCTGCTTCCTGCAGCCACTTGGCGGCTTCTCGGTCTCTGCAGAAGCCAGGCACATCGGTGTCTCTTCTCTGGGCTATCCAGTCCGAGGCCTCCTCGAAAGTTTCACCCATCATCACAGCCCTGATCAGCGCTGTTGCTCCTCCGGCTCGGTGGCGGCCCGCAATGCAATGTGTGACGATGACTTCGCCACAGTACAAGGACTGTAGAACCAGCGGCCATAGTTCCTTCCAAGCTTCTGAACGCTCTGCTGCCACGCCCACAGGGAATCGCCTCAGCAGCGCGTTGGGCAGCACCACCCCGTTCCGCTCCTCGGGCCTCTCGGTGAAGCATGCGATCTGCAGAGTGGCTGGTGGGAACCTATGTTTGTTGGCCGCCGTTGGGAGCCCTGCCAACCACAACTGGCCCCCTGAACTCATCTCCAGGATCTTGGTCGGGGCTTGAGCGTACTTCCCCTTGATCGTTGCAAGGCGATCCCACATAACTTCTTCTTGGGGTGGATTCAGGGTTGACGGCATAGGAGGCAGCACGAAGTCCTTGTCCGCCGGGATGTGCGCTGGCCTCTCAATCACCATCCCTGACTCGTGGACCTCAAGCGCTGGCCTGGATGACGATGCCTTCGCCACCGGCGGTTGCTTGGGAGTGGATGCCCCACTTGCCGCTGCTGTCCGCTTGGCCTTTGGTTGCGGCTGTAGCTTCGGTGCTGTTTTAACCTGGGCAGGAGCCACCGCAGGCGCTTTCGGCGGCGTCACCGGCGCACCGGCCTTTGGTGGGGTTACCGGCGCTTCTTGCCCTCTCCTTGCCCTCTTGGCCAAAGGAACTATGCTTTCCGATGAGCTCGATGATGTGAAGCCTGGCACTGCTTGTACCGTTGCCTCCTCCTGGTTGGAAGGATGCGGTAACACCGGCGATGTGACGGTACTCTCCGCCAATCGAGCCTTCTTCGTCCAGCAAACATGGGCACCATGTTTACCGCCGCATGCCCGTCCAGTTCTGGATACGACAGCACAAACGTGGGCTTCCGGGCACTGCTCCTCCTCACACTTCCCTGACTGAAAGAGGGCGCACAATGGGGTCCCGTTCCTCAGGAACTTGGTGAGCAGTTTCCCCCTGATGGAAGGGGGCATTGCCGGTCGGCCCGCCCTGGCGGCCTCTTCTTTGGCCTTGTCCCTCTGCTCCAGGGCTTGCTGGACAAAGTTGAATGACCTCAATGACCTCTTCACTGAGGTTGGCGATGCCTTCGCCTGCCATTTGGTGACCACGTCCTGGTTGATCTTCTTGGCGACCGTCGCCTCCGCCTTCACCACTGCAGCATGCAGATCGTCCATTGGGATCACTTCCCAAGACTCAAACGTGGTCAGGTTGGCCATGATGGCGTAGGCCATGTGTTTCATCCGTGTTGACATCGCCTCCTTAGAGCCGGCATAGTGTGCTGGCATCTTGGCAGATGATTTGACTTCATCCGTCCAGTCCCCTAATGCATTCAGCTCCAAGTCCGTGAAGGTCGAGAGCAAACCCACCGTAGGCGCTACCCGTCTCCATGTGTATGTTGTGTGATGTTCCTTGCATCATCGACATGGTTCTCGAAGAGGAGCTGGGCCTTCTTCTGGACCTCCGAAATAGGATAGGGGATCCCTTCCGCGTCGAAGGCCATGCCACAGGTCTGCTGCTTCCCCTCAGGTAACTCTTTGATGGCATCAATCACTCTCTGAGCCCACGGAAAACCATTGGTGAACTCGGCAGGAGCTGACCAGGTAAACCCATTCCTGGAGTGTGCCTGCTTTCCCTGCGAACACCAGGCATGGATAGTTGAGGCTGACAGACGCTTGGGGGAACTCTTGGTGATGTGTCGGTGCCGCAAACATCCGACAGCACATAACCAGTTGGCTAACAGGGCCATCCATTCTGGGTTGTTGTGCTCGGCCGCAGTGATGATGCCTGCCTCCAAGAAGGGGATCATGCCCGGTTCGGCCACCACTGCCTGCTGCCGCTTCCGAGTCCGCACATTGGGTGCCACCGGAATCTGGATGTTGGTGAGATTCCATCCCATGGTACCTGCCTTGTTGAGCTACTTCAACGATGCCAGGGCCCTCGCTGGGCCATCCGTGCCCTCCTGAACGAATGATGCCAGGTCCAAGTCCTCGACCACTTCAAGGCCCCTGTCCTCCTGGTAATGAGCCACAGTTCCTTCCAGGTGCGGATGGCATTGATGATTGTCTGACTGTCGGCTTGAGTGACTTTCTGTTGTGACAGGCGCCGCAACTGCTTCCTCCACTCCTCCAGCCGTGCCTCAGTCACCTTGTGGGCCGGCCGCTGCACAGACATTTCTTCGAAACACTGCGCAAGGGACTCAACCCTCTGCACCACTGCATCAGGTCCGTACCGGTTGGTAGACAGGGTCACTCCCTGTCTCCTTTGGATCATCGGCTTCACTGTCGGTTTAGGGACTCGGTCTCTCGCTGAACCTGCGCCACTGTCTTCGACTGCCCTTGCTCCAGCCGCCAGCAGCCCCTCATCAGCTTTGGACCGGGCTGAGGCCCATTGCGCCGCCAGAGCATGCCCTCCTGCCGACATGGCGTCCTGATAGTTCTCAAAGGCATAGGCGAGGTCACTGTCATCAGCTAGCCCGAAGTGTTGCCTCACTTCCAATGCCCTTTCCATATAGTGGCCACTTCCACGGCTTGCTCTGGGTCACAGGTGCTTGCTTCACCTGCGGCCTCAAGAGCGTACCGTCCCTTGCCGCTCGCCATGGCACCGGCAGCAATCGCGAGTCCTAGTTGAGCCAGGGCTGAGGATGTAGAAGGAGATGATCTGGATCCAGCACTCTCCCGTGCCTTATAGCCTCCCTGGACCACCCCCTCGACATCCCCAGACAGGACCGACTCATTGCTCGTCGTCGGAAGAGCCGCAGAAAGGGCAGAAGTCGCCTCCACGTCTGCATTCCTCGCAAGATGTGAATGTAGGGATCCAGCAAAGCCGACATGGCTGCAGGGATCCATTCCACCTCAGCCTCCACGGCACCCAAGATGCACCGCACGGAAGCTCCTGCTCTTCGGCGATCGTCGTTGGCCCGCACGACTCCTCCGCAGCCTGTCCAGGGTTCCACCCAGGTACAGCTGCCCTGTTGCCGCTCCCTCCGTAGCTCGAAAAACTCCTGCATCGTGATGCCGTCACGACACAGGGCCAGCCTGACGAGGGTCCCATGGGCATGGCCTGGAATGAGCTGCGCCAGGTAACGCCCGAGGCAACTCTTTGCAGCGCAAGGAGTTCAAAAGTCTCCTCCCCTGCATGGTAGCGCTCCCACAAGGATTGAGCTGTGTCACCTGCTTGGGCCAAAACAGCCGTCTTGGTCCAGATGCCCACGAAAGGAAACTGAAAACCTCCCCTTCTGGTATCACATCGCACACATGGTGACTCCGTGCAAGGCAACTGCACACCCCAGGCAACTCTGGGATTCCCAAAACATCCACATTTGGGTTCGTTCCATTATGGATGACTTCCACAACAGACTCCCAAAGGATGCGCGCCTCGGCCGCTCGCCCAGCACGAAGAAGAGTGCGCACATAGTTGGAGAAGTCCATCCATGCCGCGGTGTGCAGTATCTCTGCACGCGTGTGCAAAGCAACATGTACCCCAGGGATTAGGTTGGCCATTCAGTGGACACCACCACTTAGACCAACTACCTCCCGTCCAAGGAAAACAATGCTGCTATTTTGGATCAATACTTACTTGAGCCAAAATTGGCATTGATTTTACCTTATTTAACCAACCACCAAGGAATGACCACTGTCCACCCAGGCCTGCCAAACACTAGACAGTCATATATATGTCTTGTATGTAATTTGTATATGTACATGCATACATTTGATGGATCTATATCCGTTCATCTACCTATCAGTTGTCGATGTATCGATCGTGTACAACGGCTTCGAAGTCTCGATGCTAGCGATGGGTTGGTGCCAGCAATCTTCAGATTTTCAGGATGATCAGGACGGCTACAGTATGGGTAGCTGGTTGGTGGTTGACCTACCCCTCTGAAAAATATGACTTCGTCAGTTGGGATTATGACATTCCCAATATATGGAAAAATGTTCCAAACCACCAATCAGGTAATGTCACCCGAAATGACATGCTACACATTTTCAACTCCTGAAATTATTGGAAGGCGAATGGAAATTGCACAGTTTTTGGTGAATTTTTGGGATTGATCCTCTGCTAACCTAACATCAGTATGGAAAATCAGCCTTTTTAATAAGTAGCCTCTGGTTATGACTAACAGTTTGCTATTGAAAATGGCCATAGAAATAGTTGAATTACCCAATGAAAGCTGTGATTTTCCATAGTTATGTAACAGTTTACTGGAGGGTAATCAACTCTGCCATTTTCAGCTATGCACCAGATGATGTTAGTTTACCAGAGGCTAGAAAATTAGAAAGCAGCCCCCCTGCTTTGCGGAGTCCGAGACACTAACACATCCACCAAAACCATCAATGGCACACCTCGCACGCGCGCACTGTACCTCAGCACCAGGGATCCTAAGATGTGGATAGCCTCTGGAAAAATCAAATATGGCTCTGGTAAACATACAAAAAGCTATGGAAAGTCGCCACTTTTCATAGATAAATCAACTATAAATGGCCAGTTTTAAAAAGTTATGTTAAAAAACCAGAGGGTATGTGGGACAATCATCTATAGATGCGGCTTTTCAATAAAGATGTTACGAACTACCAGAGGGTAACTCTTTGCACTCTTGGTGATTTTGTCAGAATGTGGAAACATGTTATGGTATCTGTACCGAAGTTTCAATAAACAAGGAAGTTAATCGGATTTCAGCAATATCACATGTGTTTACTTAGCAGTGGTTTGTGATACCCTAGGGCCCTAGGGTAATCATTATTTTCCTTCTTGACTATTAGATGGTTGGGAAACTCTAAGTAGCTCCAACTGGCTCCCCATTGGGTAGGGAATATATAAGGAATATGAATACCCCTAGCTCCTTAGTTCCCTCCTAACCTAACCACTGGATAGTTGGTTTATAAACCATGATAATCTCCATTAACTAGTTCGTTCTATCTACCATAAACCCAATCGAATTCAGCCACAAACATAAACCAACTGAACGCGAGCTTGACTGGGGGCCCCATCCTGATAGGGTCATCATCATTTTCCTTCTTGACATGAGTATTTTGAGGTGGCCATTTTTTTGACGGATCCACTGGACTGAAATTTTACAGACCACTGGAGAATCACCCCACTAAGAACTACCTGGCGAGTGTGAGCTTCAGCCAAAATTAGGAAGTCATATTAGTCAATGGGAAGGATTATCCCATATATTCTGGAAAGTCATAAAATTCATGTTCCAAACCACCAACCAGAAATGGGAGAAACCAATCGTGGACTTATGACTGGTGGGTGCGCTCTACCACTTGCATATGGTGGGATGACACAAGTCATGACTCCAAAAAGTCGTGGGTACCCACGATCATCGAACAATTATCTCCCCAATTTTGATGGTATAATCCCTATTATATGGATAGACTGGGGATAATCATGGTGATAATAATGGACTAGATGACAATGGGGTATATGAAGGTTTCTGAACATGGGTGATGTAAACTAAAATGGTTACTGACGACTGGATCATTTAGGGTACACCCATGACTTCTCGGAAAGCTCCATATGGCCTCTTGCAACCCCTTTCTAAAATAGAAAAAACACTTCCAGAAATTTCCACTGTTTCCATTGGTATCGTAGTAATACTTTAGGCATTTGGGGATGGTTTACTATTGCTTTGCTGTGCCATGAAATCCATCTTCGAAATCAAGGAATCCATGCTTCACAACGGCCAAGCGTCACAGCAGCCAGAGCTTCATCTAGCGTCTTAGCTGCCTGGACACTCAACTGAAACGCTGATCTGACAATGGTTAATATATGGGAAATGGGGATGATTTGCCATGTATAACTAAATATATATATATACATATAAATATATATATATATACATATGTATATATATATATATATTTATTTATTTATATATACACATAATTAAATTCTGGCTGAATTATAGTAGTTCACTGACTTGAAAATAACTGTTATCATACGGCCATTTAGGTATAAAAATTGGGCGACATGGTTTCTCTACGTATATCTATTCAATCCCCATTCCACATTTTTCTCATTGGATTAGACCCTTTAAGTCCCAATTTTTGATGATCCAATGTGCACATGTTTGAAATCTGAAGCTGTTAACTCCACATATTATCTGCTGTTTTCATCCAGACTTGTAGCATTTTCATGCAAAGGCACTGTTTGTGTTTGATCAACTCCCTTTATCTGGGCCCATGTTCAACCCCAAACCTAAGATCTAAGTCTTTACTTCTTACTTGGTATTTCATCCCAGTTAGCAAGTGGATTGTAACACGCTTAGTTAAAAATGGGTAAGTCAGATGAATACAGTTTCGAACTGAGTGGCTTAGTAAGCCACTCAATCCCACCCAGATTTCCGCAAACCGACAAGTATTCAGTGTCTGCCAGTTCCCTTTTCAAATTATTTGACTGCGTTGTAATATGTGCCATGGTCAAAACATGGTCAAGGGAAGTCTAGTTGTGAAACTTCCGAATTACGAACGATTGTCAAGCTATCTCACCATGATGGTCACCTCAATCATCATGGCAACCACATCATCCTGCAAGGTTGGGAAGTGTGAGAGATCGGAACGCGAAACTGTTTCCTATAGTCATGTCCTATTTTTTCGAAACTTCCGCCCCGGCGCGTGCCGGGCACTACCTGGTATATGGTGCAAGGTCATCACACCATTTTTACGACTTCTTGCTACAGTATCTGCTCACGTTCAATGCAAGGCGCGCTGAACTTCAGCTCCAAGTTGTTGATGATGCGGCTGTAAATCTCAAAGGACATCCTTGGAGGCTCGCGAAGAAAGTCTTTGGAATATGTAGGGGATGATATAAATTATATAGGAATATGAGGAATCCCTAAAAAAAGGATACCCAACAGCCCAATAATTTTTACCATCCCCCAAATCTCCCCAATAAAATGTGGGGTGTTGTGATCAGAATAACGAGTTTCCCATAACATGGTTCAATCTATCCTGAACATATCCTTGGAACCTGTAAAAAATGCTCCGTTGACAGCATATCTAAAGACAAGTTCTGTCAATTGACGAAATTGCGCTGAAAAAAGAGGCCCGCTTTTCATGGCAATTCCAGGGACATTTCGGACATTTCCCTTCATAGCTGGGAAGCCAATTACTGATCACAATGGCTTCCGTAGCAAATGTAATGACTACTTGATAAATGGCTAATATGGCTTACTACTAATTACTACTTAACATAGCTTTACATAAGTATTACATTCATTTACTTATCATAATTGCAGGTAGCGAGTCATAGCTTCATATTAGTTGCTACTACCACCTTTTTGGTGGCTGAACTTTCCACAGTCCACAGCCCCTTTTCGGGTGATCTTCCAAAGCGATTCACGTGTTGACAACACTGAAAAACACATGGAATTAATATGGTTGAAATGAAAGGAATATATATATAAATACATAAATAAATATATATATACATATAAATATATACAGTTATATGACAGTAAAAACAAATATCATGATCCAGTGAGCTTGTTTGAGCCAGCGGGGGGAAAACCGCGCCAGTAGTCGTGCACGTTTTTGAAAATACGAATGTGCTCCGTCACGTCTTGGGTTGGGGGGTGGGTGTTAACGTTCATGTTAGCTTGCCACACATGCACATGCTTCGTCACATCTGGGTTTCCCCTTCTGGGAGGTCACTTGTAACAGCACATGGCCACGTGAAAGGAAAACATCGCGCGAGTTTTCAACACCAAATTCCCTGTAAATTGCAGGAGATCATCAAAAATGCATTTCAAATTCCCGGGGAATCTTACGCACTTTTTGTGGAATGGATCAATAGTTTCGCTCTGGCGAAAACGATTTTGTCAAAACGCTCACAACCGCTGGCGCGGTTCTCCCCCCGACGGGTTGTTTTAGACCTTTAGTTGATACTTGAAAAACAGAACATCTCACCATTGAACTTACCAACGTGGAGTATAACTAGGATCATAAGTGCCATGCTTAAAATAGGGTATATGGTTCATGATCATGACACCATTGTTACGATAATGATATACTTGTGTGATGTGTTGTTTTTTGTTATATATATAAGCCTTGACCCTATATATATATACATATAAATGGTTTATTGTGGCATTGTTGTATTATCTTTGCGGGTTCTAACTTATAGCATAATATTTACTTATTACTACTTATAAGTGGTAAGTAAATTAACCCCTTTCTGAAAATGGACTTGACGACCGTGCTCGAATAAAGATCCTGACGATTCAATCGTGATATATATTGTTCACAGAACATATTCTTCGCGCATATGTAAAGCCTCTGGTTATGACTAACATAGCCATGGAAAATCACCATTTTTAAGAACGGTAAACCCAGGTAAACCATCTATAAATGGGTCATTTCCATGGCTATGTTAAATAACCAGAGGGTATATATATATATATAGAATTATATTTATATACACCCACCCTCAAAACGATGATGGTTTCTTGGATGTGCATCCCACTTAGTGGTTCAAAAGACAGAGATGACCACCATGTAAGACATATGTAACTGGACATTTCATATGCTTTTCAGATGGGTGGTAAAAAAAACCATCGCCCAACTTGGCAGGTTTATGGCATTGGCTTTCCAAATAAACGGTATAATGATCATGTTTGCCATTATATATATATATAACATTCTGGTTGGTCAAACACCATGGCGTTTGATCAAGCCATTCAACGTTGGTTGATCTACCAGTGGGACGTCGAAGCCAGGTTGCGGATCTTCCAGGGCCAAGACAAACTCCTAAAAAAGGCGACTGCGGCCTTTTCTATGAAGATGTTGGACAAGAAACTCTATGATCATACATTGATACCTGGAATATGTTGCATTAAGGGACATGAGCAATTTTCATCTTGTATAGCTGTCTATGAAGATGTTGGACTAAGGGAACCATGGTTTCCGGTTAAGATTTTGCCGCAGAAACCAATCCATTGAGAATTGAAGCTTGATTTTTGGAGGGTGAAGCCTCGATGTCATGGGTTAACCCCTCCAAACAGGGCTCGAATAGGTTCTATGTATGCATTATACATTACATGTATAGAGAATGTTCCCCCTTAGATAGGTACGTTGGTTTATAGTTGTGATAACTAGGAACTATGGTGGATTGATCTTCTCATCAGTACAAGATCCAAAAAAAATGTAAATTTGTATCCACAAATACGAGCAGCGGAACGTATTTGGTACACGTAATCCATGGGGTGTTTCTACCTCGTTCTCCATTCCATTATGTTTTTGGGGGGTCTGACCTCGTTAACGCCGCACTTGTTTTTGGCAGCTAGATGTTTTGCATGCAATGCCTACCTCGTTCTCTCCTACCTCGTGTTTTCCTACCTTGTTTTGCAACCTAAATATCGTATTTTCGATAAACTCAGGGCATGCCGCACTTCACTACTCTTCACTTCAATACCTTCACTGTCACTCATATGGAGGTTTCCTAAAATGGGGGATCCCCAAAATGATTGGTTTATAATGGAATTTATGGATGATTCAGGGGTACCCCCATGACTTAGGAAACCTCCATATGTACATTTACATGATCATTAACCAGTGGATTTAAGGGTACCAGTATCCTATTGTCAGACAGACCCAGCGAGAATCACAGGATCAAGCAGCAATGATTTGTTGTCACATGTGAATTCAACATCTCTGTTTTTTTGAAGCTGTTCGTCGTCAGAAAAGTACTAAACAACAAGGTCACTGGGTCTTTTTGTACCTTTGTGATGATCTCATATCTATTTTCAATGGGGGGGTTCTTCTCATGGGCATGGGTGACTATTCCTATGGTGTATCTGTACTCGTACACCTACATACAAGGTGGGGGCCCGTACACAGCTAGCTTGCTATACATACAAAGTTGACTTTAAAGGCCAACTTAGAAACTAGGGGCGCGCAATATATGATCATACATATTGATGTGCCCGCATGAAAAACATCAAGAATCTCAATTGCACTAAAAACAATTCTTGCAAATCTTTCAGCAACAGGCATTTTCTGCATTCTATGGGCTTATAGCCTCCTTAGACTTTCCTTGATTGGTTTGTCTTTTCCTCGAATTGTATGTTCCTTTGTTTCCCCCTTGGAGTGCTGCAATTTCACCATGGTGGGTCCAGTTTGGCATTCACTCAGTGTCAGGGACATTTTTGCAGGATCAAAGGAAGCCAAAGGAAACCAAAGGAAACCAAAGGAAAACCATAGAATCCACCCAGCCCCAAACCAAAGGAAACCACAAGAAACCAAAGGACTCAAGGAAAAATGACATATATCAAGAACAACTGATTCTAACTAGTTCCTTTGTGTTCTTGTTGTTTCTTTTGGTTTCTCCCCACAATTAAAAACAATATTTTAACGCAACCCATGCATTGGAAAGGTTGACACGCTAGCTTTTGGCCCATACCTTGGTGGAAATGTGGAGTATCTCACCAACACCTGTTAAAGGAAACACATTTGTACTGATAGGAGAAAAACATAAAACACAAGAAACCACAAGAAAACCAGAGGTTTTCAAAGGAAAGGGCAGGGTGATCAGAGGAGAACATCGGATCATCTAAGGCAACCCGGTTGCGAAGAATGCATGTTCCAGTGATCTTGCCAAAGAGGTACTATGAACAATGGCCCCGGTGCATAAAGTAAATAAATACCAGTAGTACCGCACAAGGCGGTGGCGGAAGTTTCAAAAATAGGAAACCTATAGGAGAGATTGGCTGTTGTGAATCAGGGATGGCAGAGCGAATCCACTGATGGACCGAAAGGTGCTTAAGGTCTCCTGTCTTTCTCTCTCTTTCTCTGACTATCTACTTACCTACCAGCCTATCTTCTATGTATCTATCTATCTATCTATCGATCTATCTATCTCTCTCTTTCTCTCTTTCATCTCATTACCTATCTACCTATCTACCTATCTACCGATCTACCTATGTACCTATCTACCTATCTATCTATCTATCTATCTATCTCTCTCTCTCTCTCTTTCATCTGTCTATCTGTCTAGCTGTCTACCTGTCTGTCTATCTGTCTATCTATCTGTCTATCTGTCTACCTGTCTATCTGTGGTGCAGTGTCATTCAGTGTAATGTAGTGTAGTGTAATGTAGTGTAGTGTAGTGGAGTGTAGTGGTGGTAGTGTAGTGTAATGTAGTGTAGTGTAGTGTAGTGTAATTTCGTGTAGTGGAGTGTAGTTGTGTAGTGTAGTTGTAGTTGTAGTTGTAGTGTAGTGGAGTGTAGTGTAGTGTAATGTAGTAAGTGTAGTGGGGTAGTAGTGTAGTGTAGTGAAGTGTAGTGTAGTGTAGTGGAGTGTAGTGGAGTGTATTGTAGTGGAGTGTAGTGTAGTGTAATTTCGTGTAGTGGAGTGTAGTGGAGTGTAGTTGTGTAGTCGTAGTTGTAGTTGTAATTGTAGCTGTAGTGTAGTGGAGTGTAGTGTAATGTAGTGAAGTGTAGTGGAAAGTAGTGCAGTGTAGTGTAATGTAGTGTAATGTAGTGGAGTGCAGTGTAATGTAGTGAAGTGTAGTGTAATTTAGCGTAGTGGATTGTAGTGGAGTGTAGTTGTGTAGTTGTAGTTGTAGTGTTGTGTAATGTAGTGTAGCGTAGTGAAGCGAAGCGACATCTGAACCTCCAAAAGTGGTCCGAACCCCTAGTGTTTTGGACATTTTGACTTCGAAATGTGCTTCGCGCCACAACGGCGTGCACTTTTTCGACATCTCAACTTCCAAAAGTGGTCCGAGACCGCCAGTTTTTAACACTTTTGACTTGGAAATGTGCTTCGCGCCACAACGGCGTGCACTTTTTCGACATCTCAACTTCCAAAAGTGGTCCGACGCTGAGGTGTTTTGTACATTTTGACTTGGAAATGTGCTTCGCGCCACAACGGCGTGCACTTTTTCGACATCGCAACTTCCAAAAGTCGTCCGAGGCTGAGGTGTTTTGTACATTTTGACTTGGAAATGTGCTTCGCGCCACAACGGCGCGCGCTTTTTCGACATCTCCACTTCCAAAAGTGGTCCGGACCTGAGGTGCTTTGTACCTTTAGACTTGGAAATGTGCTTCGCGCCGCAACGGCGTGCAATTTTTCATCGCTCCTGTGACCAGCTGGCTCCGCACCCGCCGCTTTAGCGAGCCTACTTTTCGACCCTCCTGAGCCACAAATCATTGGAAAAACACAGTGTTTCGCGACTTTCCTACCTTTTCGCGCATCTGTATCTTCTTTCTTCTGACTCTTTCTCTTCTCATCTTCTCTCTTCTAATCTTCCTCTTCTCTCTGCCTCTCCCCTACTCTGCTTTTCATCTGTCCATATTGTTGGAAGCTTGACTTCTAAACTTCCTTCGATAAATAAATCAAACAAATATAAACAAATACTATTCCGCCATGATCTTTCTACGTCTTGGCCATTGATCCAAATTTCACACACAAAAAAAGGGCGAGATGCGGCTTTCTCTTCCGAAAGAATCCTGGCGGCGATTCGATGTGACTTCGGAAAACAAGAAACAGGTGGTTCTCAGAGGGTAAATGGCAGAGGGAAACAGGGGAAACCATTGGAATTGGGATATTTGGGGGTACCCTATTTTCAGACAAACCAAAATCTTGAGTTTTTTCATGTCAGGATATTTCATGTATTCCCAAATTAAAGATTCGAAATTTCCCAAAGAGGCATCCCGCTCAAATGAGCATCAGTGTCTTAGAATAAAGGGTCATTTCGAGCTGGCACCGTGGCAAACATCAGCTAAATGAGCAGAGTCACGGCTTCCCGCCGGTTCCCCACACATCTTACCGGTTTAGGTCAGTCCATTGGGATCACCATCAGAAAAATCTTAATGTTGGTAAAACAATGTCATAAACCACACATTGGGAATGGTTTATATCACCTATAAAAATAGTGATTTGGGGGATGGTTTATTATTGTTTTAACCACATTAAAACTTTCTTGCATCCATTTCTGAACATCAAAAATACTCAAACATCATAACCCACCCATGTCTGATGAATCTCTGAACATTTGAGGAAGGGAACTCTGGCTGAACACCGAACAACGGGTTCCCCAGCTTTGACCGTTGCTCCCATTGATCCACACAACCAATTGTGGGGGTCACCGCCCCCCCAAAAAACTACTGAATTGACATGAACTAAAAATGCTAATGCTGAAAACAACGATTGGACATTCGATTCACATCAAAAACATTCAAATGGTACTGTATGGAGTGCTTCACATCATGTGAAGCTTATACCATGCATCTTTGGGGATATTGTAAGGATGGCCTTAGCTGAAGGTCAACCCAGTTTCAGGAGGATTCCGCATTATTTTTGGTAATTCCGCCTCCATGACCACTGGTTCTTCTATCAACGAAGCAACGCTTCACACAAGACCCTAGGTCAAACTAAGCCCAATGTTTGATGGTTGAAGCTGTTGAAATCCCATTCGTCTTCGAATGAACTCCGCATATTCCCGGTTGATCAACCAATGGTTGTCCTTTTTCCATGTGAGCAATGTTCAAAACCCGTATATCCCTATCAATGTCCCATTCTATTCCATCACATTCCTAGCACATCGCTTAATTTGGGGGATGCCAAGATCACAGACCTTGAACATAGCCAATTTGGGTGTATGTTAGTTGGAGGGATGCTAATCTCAACTCATTCCCTCAGCCTCACTCTGTGCCACCTGTTCTCACAAAGTTGTCCGGCTGTCTCTGGTAGGCCCATGCATGGCCATAGAAACAGATCTGGCAAGCTGCACCGTAAATCGTTCAAGCAGACTCGAAGGATGCAAAAGCAAATGTAGCTGCACCGCAAATTTTCAAAACAGACTCTAAGGATGCAGAATCAAATGCAGCTGCACAACAAATCGTTCAAGCAGAATCAAAGGATGCAGAAGCACATGTAGCTGCACCACAAAGTGTCCAAGGAGACTTAAAGGATGCAGAACCAAACACGAAGTCTCTTCCGCTTCCATATTACTGCTCTGCAAGACCAAAAACTTTCCAGAGAACAGCCGACGAAGCGTCAGCCAGGGGGAAAATGCGAGCTTTTGCCCAACTGTCCAACTCATGTATGAGCATGTGAGATCCTACTTACTTCCTGAAAGTAATATTCTAAAATCTCAAGCCTAGACCAGCGTCCCCTCCAGGCTACCGATGTCAAATCTTCAGTAGCGATGTAATAAAAGGTGGCGCCCGATCCTCTGAGAACCCTGGGTGTGGCGCCCTGATCCTTTTGACGACACGGAACACCTAGATGTTCCATCACAGAGTTCCACTGCTTCCTGAAAGATGAGATAGAACCTGGATAGAGGCGGTCATCAAGTTTCAGACCCCCAAAACTGCAGAGGCAATGGAAATTATACCATCATGGTCAACTCTGCTGTGCTGTCTTCTAGCAAAGCATGCAGCCTTAGGATCTCAACCTCGAATATGGAGCGCAGTGGTATCATGGTTCAAATCTTTGGGAAAAACAAGGTCACGCCGCGTCAAAGCGAATCTCACTGGGATGTAACATCGCAGCAAAACCTAGCAAAAGAATGCCTCTCCAAGTTAGCCATCCCCACATGGTACCCAGACAAGCCATAGCCCGAACAACGACTGTGGGTAAGACGGCTCGACAGGAGCCTGGCTCGTGCAACTGCCATTTCTTGTCGATCTGCCATGCAATTGTCATATGGGGACAGCAAGCTGGATACAAATCTTGCGCAGCTGTGATTGGGTATACCAGCAAATATCTTGGCAACCCAGATTCGAAGAGATACATGCCATAAGCACGCAGGGCCCACACCAGAGCCTGCATGTCACTGCAGATCGTTCCCTGTGGGATCTGCAAATGCTCATCGCACCAAATGCAAAAGCACGAAAGCAACGTTTCATGCGAGTTGCTGTGGCCCAATTGTGAGGTCCATTTGGCCCCTGGGTCGGAGACCCGGACTTTCTTCCACGTCGGAGAAGCAAAAAGCGCACCCACCTCGCAGCATTCAGAGGAAAGGGACTTGATGCCACGACAGCATCAAAGCCTCCGTAGTCGTCAGCTTTGAGGCGCAAGAACCAATCAGGTTCGTCCTTGGTTGGGGGTTCAATTTCTCGCTGCCGGGAGGGCCCATCGCTTCGATTTACTTTGGAGGGGCAATGCAACAAACCTGGGTATAAGCCACCGCCTAAGATATACGCTAATGTTCCGCGAAGAACTTTACTTAATGCGGGGGAAGAGGAACGACCCTTGGAAGCAGCACCAGCTGTGACACGCGAATCCAGAAGGGCTACTATCCGACTATTAGGTCCGCTTTTTGCAGCAGCTTTTATGAAGGATTTATAGGGTTCTTAGTTCATTCACATTTATGTGACCAGTTTTTTTGGACCGATACCTGAACATCTCCTTAAAAGGCAAACAGTCACAAAGCTCACTGATCCACTCCGGCCCTTCGAGCCAGGGGCGGGCTGGGTAAACAGACTCAGTGCTGCAACCAGGGCAAACATCATCCACGTCCAAGGCAACTTCCAGCAAACTACGAATCCGAACGGCAAGGGCTCGGACATTCCTGCAACAGCATGACTAAATCCTGAGGCCATGGACTGAACAAGTTTCATGGCATAAAGAACTGAATAAGCTGAAGCATTTTCGCCAATTTTGGGGGATCTACCATACACAATTTTTGAGGACGGGCAGCACCGCTGCTCAAATTCTGCAAGAGAGTCAGAAGTGAACGAGCCCTGGGCTACAAAATGTCTACCCTTGAATGGGCATGTGCACTGGCACTCCAATGGCAAAAGCCACGACTTGTTATGCAACCATTGAGAATCTTTTTGGAATGGGATCCCAAAGGAACAGAAACAAAATCAGCTCATGGCACAGCCAAGGCTCACCATGACCTTGTAACAATGCAGCCAGATCTTGTGACTTTTCTCCGGCTGCTTGACGCTGCAATAGTGACCTGAAAGAAGAACCAATGTCAAGATGAAAGCTGTTCTGCGTGCCAGCATGTTGTGAAAAGCTGTTAAGGGATCTGGGGGGTTGAAGCCGGCAGGATGCCGCTTGCTACAAATCTGGGGACGTCTCAGTGTTCCAAACATTAGGCTAGGTACACACGCGTGCCAGTCCAAGCAAACTCTTCAGCTCGCGAGCCACAGCATGGTTTGAAACATCGCAGGCGGCGCCCGGAGACATCAACACCATCGTGGACCGAAACCGTCTTTATGCATGGGATTCTGACCAATTCCCTGAGCCCTTGAAAAGTTCAATGCAATCAAAAAGAATACCTTCACTTAGGGGCCATGAACGGGAATGGTATTATGAGTAGGTAAAGGGTCCTTAGAAGTGAACAGCTGGTTTGACTCAGGCCCAAACCCCTTTTCACTAAGTATCTCGTCAACTGAAGATTGCAAACGGGCGTGAAAACCCCTCTCCTTGCTATATCGCCAGAGTTTTTGGCTGGCAGTTTCAGCTATGTTTGCACTTATTACTGCTCCACCAGTGGGGCTGGCAGCTGTGCAATACAAGTGCGGGGAACGGTTCACTCTCAGATCGCTTTGAGCAACAGGAGCTAAAACTGCAAGATACTGGAGTTGACAGCATGCTTGGCGGCTCGAAGTGAAAATCTGATCTTGAGGGATACCCTGTCCTTCTTTGAAGAGCTGCTCAATGACAACAAAATTGGTCCTACGGAAAAGGATCACGTGAATCCAACACCCCAACAACACTGAAAGTAAGCGAGGTGTGCAAGCCCTGCGTTTGACAATCTGAAGAATTATCAAGCTCAAAATAGGAATCCTACTTCGAGCATCGAAATCAGCTCCTAGAATCGCACCAGCTACTTGGTTCCTTTTACGTTTCTTTTCATGTTGAATCAGTCCTACGGAAGCACAACCAACAGGAGCAGGGTCAAACTGGTCAAACACTTCTGAATCTCGCAGCCATGGTTTTTCCGGAAATTGGGAAATGGGGAGCCGTTGGATTCCTACATGATCGTCAATCGGAAGAAGTTCAATGAAATCGACCCCGGGGAATGGGAGACCGATACCTGAGGCTTTCATGCGCCCGCATGGAACCACACCAAAAATTCAAGGCATTTTTATGGGCCTGTTGGCCAATTTCAACAGCCAAGGAATCGCCCATGGCAAGAATAGCTAGACACACCAAAAGGGAACGGCCTTCAAACTCAGGTCGAAAACAGTGCAAATGCTTAAGTTCGGATGATTGGAAAACCATACGAAACGCATTGCGCATGGCTCGCTTAGCTGTAACTTGGAAACAGTATCTAGTAGTAATCAGTCAAGTCATCAGCACAAAAAACCGAAACATGTCCCCGGGTTTGAAGCTAAGTAAAGACAACATGCTACCAGGGGCCAATTCCTTAGTGATGTATGAAAGGCTAGCCATACGACTATTTATAGTCTTGGGGTTGATGATAAGGCGAGCATAAAAGGCATCCTTATCCACGGTAAAAATACCCACAGCTTCCGCAAAATCTTTTTGTTTCAAGTGGTATGATAGTGCAAGCTCCTAGGGGGTCCCAACGCTGGATAAGGTCAAGCATCTCTGATCGCTCAACGAACATCTTGGCAGGCTTACTAGCAGGCCACATTTCCTTAGGGAAGCCTGAGCACTTCGGGGTCCAAAAATGCAGCCCTAACTAGGGGATACAGATATTCAGCAGCATCAAAGCTTGGCGGATTTTCACGCGAGCCTCTTCAAACGGCTTGGCACTAGGCATAGTCACTAAACAGTGCTTCCACTGATCTCGCTAGCTTCCTTCTGAGCTGGGCAGTTTGGCTTCTGGGGCTTCGGAAAATGAGACATGTACTTTTGCAATTCAGTTGACCATCCGAAAGGTCCCCAGAACCTGAATGAGTATCAGGCAGCTGCTGCAACGAATCAATGAAGCCTTGAAACGTACCTGCCGCCCGACCCAGCTCATGGCCATGAAATTGTGGCATGCGAAGACAATGGGTCAGCAGGGCCTCGAGACGTTCGATGACTCCAGGCTGCTGCTTTGAGATTGGTGCTCCTAATTGAGCACAGGGTGGAGGCGCTTTCGGCTGCCCCAAAGTTTCCCAATTCAGCGTGCAAAGCAAAAGGTTTAGCATTTTTTGCCCGGGTTTCAAAGAACTTGCGGCGACGACTCTGTCGTGGGTTTTGTCTGGCTGTTGCCATCCATAGCCACCTGGGGGGACAGGCCATAAGGACCGCGGTTGCGGACCATGCACAATACAGGTTGGGGCTTAAACTAGCCTTGGCAAAGTATGAGAGGCCGGTGCGACAATCCCAAAAATCTTTGCACAAAACTTGCACAAGCTCAAGGGGGTCGAAGGTATTATCAGTGATAGGTTTTTTGGGGATTGCAAGCAAAAAGCCCCTTGCCTGACGTAGACAACGAAGCATACTGCTATCAGGGGATTGGTGCCGTCTGAAGGCTCTTGCAAAATCAAGTGAGCTGTTGAAAAAATATTCCCTTCAGCCAAGGCCACAAAGTTTCCTGATCCAGAGATGTCCTCACACCTCCTGAAGTCATTCAGCCTGGCACACCAGATGTAGCAAGCTGCACCGCAAATGGTTCAAGCCGACCCGAAGGATGCAAGAGCAAATGTAGCTGCACCGCACATGGCTAAGGCAGGCTTGAAGGATGCAGAATCAAATGCAGCTGCACAACAAATCGTTCAAGCAGAATCATCAAAGGATGCAGAAGCAAATATAGCTGCACCACAAAGTGTCCAAGCAGACTCCAAGGATGCAGAACCACGCCTGATTCGCTGGCCAGTAGGACCCAGCTGGCCCAAATCCAAGGCAGCAAACAATGAACCGATGATACGCTTCCCGCTGGAAGGTAAAGGCGTGGTGGTGCCACCTGTAATGATGGCAAGGCACTGGTGTTCTGTGGGTTCCTATGACTTCAAAAGGACCAGTACGACAGCAAAGTTTTTACTGGACCAGCCGAAGGAATGCCAATCGTCAACTACGCCTTTGATACTCACTTAGCCTCGAATGCAAATCCAAGTTCACCTGATGAACAGTTGGGTGGAATGAGACAGCCAGGCCCCGAGCAATGAAAGTCAAAAAGCGGCGGCAATGGACTGAAAAGGCTAAGGTGAAGCCACAACACCAGCAAATGCAAGCCAAGCAAACAGTAGCTAATTCCACCGCGCCACAAGGACAAGAGGAGGATCCACTGGTCAAAAACTTGACTTCCCCAAGGACGTCAGGAACTAGATAGGCCGAGCTCATGCATCTTGAACCCCAAAAAGCTGAAGCCGTCGGCATGAATGTCCATTCCATGAGATGAATGCCATAATCGAATAATTTATGTATATATGGACAGTTAAATAATTAAATAGATCTATTTTATATATATATATATGTCCAGTATATTTACCCGATGGCTCCAAGCAATTTCTGAGAAGGTAGTTGACCCCTGAAATTACATCCCACATACTTCCAAGGTATTTGGAGCCTAGGTATATCTGTATAAATAAATAAATATATATATATAAATACACATACACAAAAAAACAAAAGATAGAAGTTTGTAAAACGCTAGCCGCTAGTGATCAATTGAAGCTGCTATCTTTTTTCTTGCGGGTTGTTACATGGACATGTGTTCACAGAGTATATACATATGCATCTATAAGGTGGGGCCCATAAATAGCTAAGTTGGTTTATAACTAGGATAACTCGGGTTTATGGTTGCTATAGCTACAATCAGATGGGTTTAAAAACCAACAAATATAACGCTTGGCGGCGCCATATTGTATATCTTCTCGCAAAAAAACACGATCACTGTACACTTGGTGGCTCATCCAACTTGCGAAGTAGGTGAAATATCCCTGGTTTTGCTAGTGGGATCAGTAGGCTTCATCCATTCAAAAACTAAGCTTACAACTATAGCCACTAAGGATTCGTGGCTAGTTCGCCCTCCGGCATTCCCTTCGATTCCCTTTGGAACTTCGCCTGGTCGTCGGCATCGTTGTGCCACGCGCAGCGAGCACAGGATCTCTAGCTTCCACTCGACGGCAGGCTGCTTCAACAGAGCTGTCCATTTTGTCAGAGTCTGGATGTGACCTGCGGCGGCCGGGCTTCAGGGCGCTTGAGGAATAACGATGGCTGTATGTATATATATATATATACACATATAAAGACGTTTAATTAACCATGTTAGTAATGGATTCAAAAGATTGGCAATGCGAATTAAATAAATAATATATATATATATATATATGGTAAATAAACCCCAGTGATCAGCCACTTGCGAATCGAGGGGGGGTCCAAGTACTTGCTTAGATCAAGGTCAATCAAGTCAACTGGACCTATTTTTTCTGCATTGTCTTGTGCAAGCAGTCAACTTCCCAAAAGCAAGGATTACCCAGTATCATACCTATATATTAATATATTATCCGCCGACCCCTGCCTAGCCTTGGCATTGGCGGGCGGCGCCCGGGATCAACGCAGGTGTGTTACATCTCCAAACATTTTCCATGCCGGTCTCATGCAAACTTCAAACCCTCCGCTGCAGCGTTAGACACCGTTGCAATGGCCGGAAAAAGCAGCCCCACAAACCCTCCGCTGCAGCTTTAGGCACCGTTGCCAAGGCTGCTAGGCTGCAGGGGTCGGCACCAGGGCGTTCTTTTATATATCCGGCGATGCCTCGCCGTGTGGTGGTGTACCTTGCAGCCTAGCTTTAGCTACCCGGGGGTGCGCCCCTGCCGCCGACCCGCCCAAAATCCATCACTCTGGTGGTGTTTTTCATGGTTATTCGGGGTTCGGGGTGGGAAAGAAAAAGCTAAAATTACAAGATGTGGATTTTTGCTGTTTTTTTGGTGCTTGCCAAGCGTGAAAAAACACCGTAATTTACAGTGTTTTGTGCCTTTGGCATGAAACAAGTTCTTCTTGCAACATGTGAATGAAAACTGCGTAAATACCAGTGTTTTTGCTAGGCCCGGGCCATGAAAACACTGTAAATACCGTGTTTTTTGTTTGCAGAAGCAAGAAGCACCGTAAATACCGTGGTTTTGGGCTTCTGAGGTGCCAAAATCATTGGTATTTACGGTGATTTTTTGCTCCGAGAGTGTCAGAAAATGCGAACGGCGATTTTTAGGGGCCCACAGACATGCGAAAATAAGATGTGTTGCGAGAAACAAAAAGACCAATAAGAACAATAAGAACAAGAAGAGCAATAAGAACAATAAGAAAATAAGACCAATAAGAACAATAAGAACAATGAGAACAATAAGAACAAAAACAAGAACAAGAACAACAAGAACAAGAACAAGAACAAGAACAAGAACAAGAACAAGAACAAGAACAAGAACAAGAACAACTGGGGGTCCGAGTCTTTGTTTGTACCAACAACAACACCAACACCAACACCAACACCAACACCAACACCAACAACACCACCACCACCACCACCACCACCACCACCGACCACCACCGACCACCACCAACACCACCACGCACCACCACCAACAACAACAACAACAACAACAACAACAACAAGCAACAACAACAACCAACAACAACAACAACAAGAAACAACAACAACAACAACAACAACAACAACAACAACAACAACAACAACAACAACAACAACAACAACCACAGCAACCAACAACAGCCAACAACAACCAACAACAACAACCAACAACAGCAACAACAACAACAGCAACAACAATAGCAGCAACAACAACAACAGCAACAACAACAACAACAAGAACAAGAAGCACAAGAACAAGAAGAACAAAAAGAATAAGAACAAGAACAAGAGAAAGAGCAAGAACAACAAGAGCAAGAACAACAAGAGCAAGAACAACAAGAGCAAGAACAACAAGAGCAAGAACAACAAGAACAAGAACAACAAGAACAAGAACAACAATAACAAGAACAACAATAACAAGAACAAACAACAAACAACAAGCAACAAACAACAAACAACAAACAACAACAACCACAACCACAACCAACAACAACAACAGCAACAACAAGAGGAACAACAACAGCAGCAGCAACAGCAACAACAACAGCAACAACAACAACAAGAAGAACAAGAAGAACAAGAAGAACAAGAAAAACAAGAAGAACAAGAGAGCAAGAACAACAAGAAGAACAAGAACAAGAACAAGAGCAAGAGCGGACTTGAGCAGTTCGGGAACTCGGAAGCTGCACACAAGCTGAATTCTGGTACACTTACACGCACATATGTCGTTTGCCATCGCGGAGAAGCCCCGCTTGCCGCGCCAAACCTTTCCACTCACTGCCATGTGTCTTTTACAGCTTTCTCTGCATGTGACTCTAACCATAAACATCCTTGCCTAACACTGGCAATGTGCACACGCATGTTTGCTATCTGCCCTCCTCTTTCGCGCTACCCGCAGCACTCTGCCCTTCTCCGGGGACTTGATCACACTTTCGGCCTATCTCTGCTGCTCTGGGCCCTCAGCTTCCCTACGGTACCAACCCTGTTCAAACCTGTGCTGCCAACGCAAACTCCTCAGCTTGACAGCCACGAACGCCCCCAACCCGAAGGGCATTGCCGGTGTGCGAAGATCTACAATACAGTCACAATTCAGTTCATCCAGCAATCACTTTAGTAATTAGATGGGGTGAGCCGCCAGCCGTATTGTTCATTTGGAAAAAAGTCACCATCAAGTGCATCAATTATGTTGGGATCAGTGATATTTTGAAATTTTAGCGATGAATCGATCAATGATCATGTGATTCTTTTTGGACACTTCCGATGTGTTGTCTTTGAAGCTGAATAGTAAAAAAACCAAGTGTGTGGCGCACACACACACATAACCCATTCACCTACCAAACCAAGGACAACATTGAATAATACTTGTAAGATCTTGTAAGAATATGTCTGTATAACCATCCCTACTGTTCGATGCCTTGCAACAAACATAGCGTTTGACCTGGCTAGTTTATCTATCTCCATATATTGCAAAGGTTAAGTTGTACTGCCAACCCCGTAATATCAAACATCCCGATTCTAGGGCACCAAATGTGTGTAAATCCCCTACTTCCACCATGGTTTTGTGGTGGTGTTAAATCTTAGAGGGATGAAATCTCGTGATATAGGTCTTCTTATGTTCCGTGAGGACACGACAGTTCTCTCCATCAAGACGCCCAGATATTGGCAGAGAATTCACCTAAAATACTTGGTGTGGTAAACATCAAAGCCCTTAACCATCCCTAAGATCCTACTTTGTGGCTCATCCCACGAATCCTAAGTGGGTTATATCCCTAGTTCTTTGAAAGGGTGAAGCCTACTAATCCCACTAGCAAAACTAGGGATATAACCCACTTGCTAAGTGGGATGAGCCACCAAGTAAGTCATCATCATTGTTATGGGCATTCAACCACCCTCATGGGTTGCTTTATGGCAGCCATTTCCCACGTTCAACTTGCTGCCCGGGAGCTCGTTAAAGGCTCGCAGATGGAGTTCTTCCTCATTTCGGCCACGGGATGGATTTGACACTTGAAATATTCAAGAGGTAATGGACAACCTAAACGGGAGTAGCCTGGTGATACCCTCTGGTAAAGGAGCAATTTGTTATGGAAAATCAAGAACTAAATGGCAATTTTCAATAGCTATGTTAGTTTACCAGAGGGTATTCCCACCATACACGGGATTTGAAATATTCAAGAGGTATTAACGACCAACCAAAGTTTTACTGTAGATACTTACAGTAAGACACCATTCAGTGAATACATACAGGCTTTAGCCAACCCAATATTAGGTATTTGATGACAAAGCAAAATGGTGCATCTGACATGCACTAATTGCGTTGGTTGAAGGTGAGTCTCGCAGTAAAAACTCTGCAAAAAAAATCATCCAAGTCGTGACATGTCGTGGCCATGGCTATGGACCCCTGGTGACGACTGGGGTACCCTGATGAATCCTGGTGATATCCTCTGGTAATTTCACAATTCGCTATTGAAGCCATGGCCATTTAGTTCGTTGACCTACCAACAAAAGGGTGACTTTCCATAGCAAACTGTTAGTTTACCAGAAGGTATTCCCACCATACACTGTTTGTTTACCAGGGATTATAACCCACGAATCCTAAATGGGATGAGCCACCAAGTAAGTCACCAGGAATTTTATGGGTGTTCAACCATCCCCATGGGTTGCTTTATGGTAGCCATTTCCCACGACTGCCCGGGGATCGTCCGAGACACTAAGTGCGCCGCCCCGGTGCGCCATGGAACAGCGCTTGGGGAGACGTCCGAGGAGCTGCGACCTGGCAGAGGAGCTAACCACCCACAGTTAGATTCATGGAATATCACCAGGTTAATGGAATTAAATGGACTAATTATATATATATATATGAATTGAAAAGCACTCACTAAGTCACGGGATAAATGGGGGAACCCATTAGAAATGAAGGTTTCTAGCTGGGATCATGTAGAAATGGCGGGCTTAACCAATGATAGCCAATCTTAGATATCCAAAAAGTGACAAGTAACGTTCGCATGGTTGGTAGATATGATATTCCTAATGCAAAGATTAAGTTGGATTAAACTACCCATCCGAGGTTGACCTACCAAATACCTATGGAAAATGGATGAACATGAATTAACATGGATGAAAATGGCTCATGTAGGTCGATGATTTAGCTTTTGGAAATGTGTGAAAATGGTTAAACCGGTGTCCGGCGCTGTGGCTGGAATGCTTTTGCTCAGTTGCAGGTTGTGAAAAGGTTTGCATAGAATGTAAAGGTAGGATGCATAGCATGTGAACGTAGGATCATGGGTGATCAGCTGAAAAAGTGTGGACAGAGCCACATTGTAGGCTGAAGGGATTCCAGTTTCAGTTTGCTTGCAGATTAGTGCTTTGTTTTGGCATGGGGCATCAGAGATGCGCAGAAACCAGTGTTGCACTCAGATTCCAAGGGTTTACGTTTTACATGCGTTGCGCACCTTACGTTAGCAGGTTGCATGAACAGTTGTCAAAGGTGTGGGCAAAGCTACTCGATAGGTTGTTAGGATTCCACTGTTAGTTTGCGTTGGACTTGGGATTGTGCACTTGCGGTGGATGAGAGATGCACGGGCACTCTGTATTGCACTTAAATCACTAGGTCAGGCGTTTGCACACATGTTTGGAAGGAGCATGCGCGGAAGTCATGTGCACACATGTTGTTTGTGTCACTGTGCTTAGAACGAGCCGTGAAAAGCGCAAGGAACCAGGAATTTGCTTTTCATCAGAGGGTCGTTTTTAGATCCGCCAGGAATTTCCTACAGAACTCAGGAAATTCATTTAAAGTGCATTAGATGTTTTCACTGCATTTCAATTTCTTCATGCGTGATGAGAACGTGTGCAGAGACACTTCAACTTGTCCAGAGACTTGCGGTTGCAGTGTTGTTTTTGAGTCTTTGGAGCGAGCATACATGTCCTCAAGTTGTGCGGTGTACTTAGGAAACACATGTCTAAACTAAACTTGCGGTTAAGAACCTGGACTTGAGCTTGTGAATTTGCTAGGCCTGGTAGGAACCAAGCCGATCGTTGTTCCACGTTTTTGCACTTGAGAGCGCATGTTTTTCGTCGTTTGAAGGCTTCGCAAATGAACTTGTGAGAAGAAACTCGTTTTGGAACGAGTTTGACTTGCTTTTGAAAGACCCCAAGTCACCATAATTAGTTGAGAAGACTTGGATCAGGGCCTTTTCAAGGCTGAAGTGAAGCTGGGAAAGAGGGACCCTTTTGTTTATGTTTCTTGCTTTTCTCCAAAGTGGCACCGGAAAAATACCAGAGAACATTTCCAAATTCGCAAGACGCCAATTCAGCAGAGACAGAAGTTTCACGAAAGATCTGGCTGGCAAACTTCGTGTTTGGTTCAAGTTTGCCAGCGGGAAAAGTCAGAAGCTGACTTCGAAATTTCACACTTTTGGAAATGGATGCGTAGCTATGTTAAATCACCAGAGGATATTGTATGTGTGTCATAATTATGGAGTTTACTCACCAAACATGCTAAACAATGGGTCCGTAAGGTCTGTAAGCGACCAAACTTAAGAGATAGTACCCGCAATAACGATGAGTAAGTGGGCTAATAACCATATGAAATAATTGACTTGGATTAGCGGGATACAACTTGATAAAACCCAAGTCGCCAGTTGAGCACATTTTGAAGTACTTTAATGGGGAAAAGGATTTTACAAATGGTTGGGGAAAAGGTCTTTGGGGCTTTTAAAAAAATAGATGGTTTACCGCCCTAAAATAAAATTGCTTGTTAAAGGATAGTTATTCCTCCAAATCCGCCGGCCTGCTGGCGTGTCTTGTGGATCTTGCTTGTTCGTAGTTGTACTGTTTGTTTTGTCTTTGGTCTTTGTCTAGACTTGCCCCTCCCC